GGAACAGGGTGTAGGGAGAAAAAATGAAAAAAAAGAAGGAAAAAATGGAAATGAAACTTTTGTAAATAGGAAGGGGTGGAGGGGTTGAAGGGAGGGCAGGGAAATGGGAAAAAAGTAAGAACCAAGATATATCAGGTACGGGTATAAATTCCCAGTGATGAATGTGATCATAATGTTTACCTAAAATGTACCAATAAACTCAATAAAAATGTAGTTATAAAGCCCCAATTTACATTTAAAATTTAAAAAATTTTAAATCACAGTTTAAAAACTGTTCCACAAAAATGAATTCTAGGATGTAGTTTACACTATAGAGAAAGATGACACTATATTGGCTACCTAACAGCAATATTAGACACAGTGCATGAATATGCTATAAAATTGTGCATATACTTTTAAAGACTATTGTGATTTTATTTTAAAACATTTATTGATGATATTGCTAGAGATAAAAATGATCCACAATGTTGGTAATCTTGAAACAGAATTTATAGGTGGTAAAAGTTATTTATGTTTTTATTTATCATTCCCTTTGTTATTGGCTGATTTGTGTTCCTCTATTGCTAAGACTCATATGTTGAAGCTAGAGCCTCCAATACCTGAGAATGTGACTGTGTTTGGAGATGTGCATCTTTAAAAAGACAATTATGTTAAAGTGTGAGGATTACCATGGGCCTAAATCAAATATAATTGGTGTCCTTGTAAGAAAATGAAGTTAGAACACAGACATCTATAAATGGAAGACCATGCAAGAAATCAAGAAAGTAGCCTACATACCAAAGTAAAAAGTTTCAGAAGAGATTGACTGTGTAGACACCTTGATGTTGAACTTCTAGCCTCTAGAACTGTGACAAAATAAATCTGTATTGTCTAAACCACTCGATTTGTGGTATTTTGTTATGGCAGCTCTAGCAAACTAATATATACTCCACTATCCTTAAAAACATTAATGTAATGTAATAGCTGTGGATCAATTTGTCATATAAGAATGATATCTCTACATTATACACTTATTCTTAGGGGGAAATGGCTCGTGATTTATGAGTTTTCAATATATATCAGCCGTTCAGAATATCTGTCTTGAATTTTGGACATAATCTTCTGCAACTATTATTGTGTGTCATTATGTGTTTACTCACCTGTACTTTTGCTCAGCAGAGCAGAGATGAAGGAGCAGTGAAAGGTGCAGGCTCTGGATTCAGTCTGCTTGGGCTCTCAGCCCTGTTTTATCACTGTGATTCTGAGCAGTTAGGTAAAATGGGTAGATCACATTTTTCTCCTGTGCAAGAGAACTAAGACATCTATATCAGAACAGTCTGTGAGGATTAAATGAATTCATGTGTAAAAATTGTGGAGAATAGTGCTGAGAACAGAGAAAGTGTGATTATGCTGTTGATTATCCCCCTGCTTGATGAGGCTCTGGATATTTTCAGTGGGGGGGGGCTGTGGGGGGAGACTACTTATCCTTCAAAGCATAGAAATAGCATCACCACACCCCCTTTGAAGATTCAGTGACTCCACCTCCCTTTCCTTCCCAGGTTGTGCAGTTAAACATATTGCAAGAGGGCTGGGGATTTAGCTCAGTGGTTCTGCCGCCTGCTCCACAAGCTCAAGGACCGGAGTTCAATCCCTGGTACCAAAAAAAAAAAAAAAGAAGCCAAACATATTGCAAGAGATAAGCTTTGCTTTCTAACAATCTGGACTCAAAGGTGGATTTTTGTATTCATGTATTTATTGTCTTAACTTATTTCGTGTTGCCATAATAGTTGAAGTTGAATATTTTATAAACAAAAAGTTTATTTAGCTCAGTTCTTGAGGCCTAAGAGCACAGGTGCTAGCATCCATTTCTAATGTGGACCTCCTGGTGGATAGTGTCACAAAACAGAAGTAATATGAGAGGAAGCAAGAGATCAGGGAGGAGCCATATTTGTTCTTTTATAGCCTGCACTCATGAGAACTAACATAATAGTGAGAGAAATAAATTAATCCTTTCCACCTTGATGCCCTTATATTTCCAAGTTTCCAGCATGTGAACCTTTGAGCAACACACTTAAACCATACCAAACCAAAACACTGATTATACAATTTCAAACACTTTGTTCAATTTCATCATTTCCACAGCTAGTACATTACTTGACACAGTGGTGGTCAGGATTTTTCTGATGAATGTAATTTTCATAATGTTAGCCTCATATGATATTGCAGTGTTCCTAAAGTGTAGGGCTAATATCTCTAGAGTTTCAAGTAAGTTTAGGTGACTAATGGACATGGCATTAAGGTCACTGAATCATACAAAGAAACTTCTTTTAACTTTATTTCAATATATGTGAGTAGGTCTACAAGAAAAACCTGACAATATTTCTGTTGGTACATTTGCAGTATATGATTACATTCATCATGGGGAGTTGGTACATATACATAACATATCTTAATTTTTTTTCATTTCCTTTCCCCTTCCCTTCTCCTCCCCTCTCTCTTGATCCTCTGCCTTTTTGAAGATTTCCCTGTTTCCTATTATATATTTTGTATTTTTCTCTTCATAGTTTCGGTTTCATGCAATATTTAAGCTCGTGTGTCTGACTTATATCACTTAACATTATGGTCTCAAGTGCATCCATTTTCCTAAAAATGACTCAAATTTATTCTTTATGGCAGAATAGTACTCAATATACCACATTTGCATATAACACATTTTCTTTATCCATTCATCTTTTGATAGAAAGTCACTTCCAAGATTTAGTTATTGTAAGTAGTGCTGCTATAAACACAGATATATGCATGTGCCAGTATAATATGATGTCTCTAACTTTTCTGGGAAGAGATCTACAAGGGGAATAGCTAGGTTGATTTCTAGTTTCAGTTTTTTGAGGAATCTCCATACTGATTTCCAGAGTTGTTGTACTGGTCTACATCCCCACCAACAATGTAGAAGGGTTCCTTTTTACCCACAGCAGTAATATTTTTCAATTCTTCTCTAATGCTTAATAATATCCCTTTTCAAAATCAAGACAGAACACTTTTTTTATTCATTACATTTACACTCACTGTTGTTTTTTATGGCAAGTTACTGCGCTTGTTCCATTCAATGATAATCAGTTTTTGTTTGAAACTCATTTACATATAAAAGTTAAAGAGAAATAATATATACAGTATATAATGGTGGTGCTAGCCTCCTCTGAGCCTTCTTCTCAAGCAAGATTTCAACCTTTAAAATCTAGAGAACCTCAGCACCAATGATTTCATCCACCTGTCCCCTTCCCCCAACAATAAAAATACTTGAAAAAGCACTAAGACAGCTTTCAACAGCTCAGCTGTTGATGATTACTATAGCCCCTTAAATTCCTGACTAGGAAGGCTCAAGGGTGCCTAAAGAATTTACTGTTTTTTCCAGAGAATTTCTGAAGCAGAGGCCCAGTTTCCCAGCTCCTATCAGGGAGTGGGAGACCAACTCCTATAGGCAGCACTTAACAAAGCAGAGGGGTTTCCCACTGACCTCTCCAACCTTTTGCAAATTTCCACTTCCCAGATAATTCAATTCCAGTTGTTCTGTTCCCTACCTTACCATTACCCTTTAAAATGTAGTCGCCTCTGTTCAAATCTAAGTTGAGTTTAGTTCACTCTGGACCATCTTCTCTATTGCAGTATGTTACTATTTAAAAATCTCTTCTTAGCACTTCAGTGACCGGCTATATCTATCTTTGCTGGATACAGTGAGGATCAATGAGGCATATTCAAATCTTTAAAGTCTGGACAAATTGACTTAAAAGTATCATGCTCAGTTGTATTTAAAGTATGTTCTCTAACAAAGATGGCACTAGAATTAGTTGTATAACAAGGACTGCTTTAAGTCATAAGAGTTCCATAAAGATTGAGCCTGTTAACTAAAATTTTTGATTCCAAGAAATCTGCCAAATGAAAAAATGCTCAAAGACTTTGGAAACAATATATAGGATTTCAGTCAGAATGGTTAATCGAGCGCAGCTGCTATGCTCCTCCATCAAATCCAACTCTGGATACTCCAGAAAAATCCAAGGAAAATACTGGGAGACACGATGCTTCCTTTGTCTCATTAACTGTGTCTTTTCCCTTCCCCTAATTCTTACTTCTCCAGAGCTCTGTGCTTCATGAAGTAAGCATCTGATGAAAGAATAACTTGCAGATCATGGAGACTGGCATTCAGGAAAGGCTTTTTTTCCCTCCAAAATGTTCCTGGATTCACCGTTACAATCAGTATGTCTGTTTCTGATGTACTTTTAATATTTGTACAATAACTGGCAACATGAGCAATACATGTCGATTTCTAAATTTTAAAAGTTACATTATATTCTGCTACTAGCTAGACAGGAAGCTTAAGTCCCACTGTTGTGGTAAAAGCATTACTCCCTAATCTAAACCTCAGCTCCTGCAGTCCTCCCCTTTGTGTGTAAAACTGCAGGCTCAGAAATCAGCTTTTCAGGTGCGCTCCTGGCTCTAGCGTGCTCTCAGGCAAGTCACCCGGTTTGCATTTCCTGAGGTAGTATGGGGAACTGATGGGTCACATGAAGCCAGAAAATAGGCCAAAGCAAAAGCGAATCTCCGCTAGCCTGTCACATGTGGAGAATACCTTGGAACAAGATGGAATTGTATAACCCTACGTGTGCTGTAACCCTAAAGTGTGCTGTGACTCTAAGAGTGCTGTAACCTAAGTATAATACAATCATAAGAGTGATGTGTAACCATAAGATATGAAAGTAATGAAAGTAGAACCTTAAGTGGTATGGAACTGATAAGGGTGGAGCCTGAATGGACGGGGCGTACCCCCGAACTGGACAGGGCGTACCCCGAATTGGGCAGAGTATGCCCCAAGCTGGACAGTGTGATAAGTCTGAACCAATACCCCGAACGCCCAGCTAGAATAGTATAAAAGGAGCTGAAGACCCCAAGCAAGTCGACGATCCGTCCCACCGACCAGTCGACCAGTCAATCTGATGATGTGACTACCGACCGAGATATCTGCACACCTGATCCCGTTGGGAGGAGCATCGCCGCTGACCAGACTAGACCAGAGGGCGAGGTAAGCGGAGAGGCGGATAGCCTAGCGCCGACTCGACGCCCTTCGTCTACGGATCGGACCCTCGGACCCTGCGGGAGGAAACGTCACGCTCCCATTAAGGACTTGCACAGTACAGGTACAGGGACGCGGTAATTGGCAGACTTAATATTGTGTGGTAACTGTATTGAAATGAATTAGGATAATATAAGATAAGTGTGTGAATTGCCATCCGAGTCCGAGTCCTCTTTACCCACGGTACCTGCTCGCGACATCACAACGCCTACCATACTCGAAGAGATCAAAACCCTCCACTCACGTGACCTCCCACCCTCTACCGCGGCGATGCGCTGACGTCAGTGAAGGCGCCGGTTTCCGGCTTTCTGCTGGGAGTCGTGGGGTGGGAACTGTAAGGCAACCTGATTTAGCCTCTAGAGCGATCCAGATTCTTCGTTGCGCGACTTCGCTGGGGGCTTAGGAACAAGCGCAGCATAGAGCTATGTCTTCGTCGCCTCTCCAGACCTTCTCTTGACGGCTCCCGCGCCCGGGCCATGTGGACCCTCACGGGCCGGAGCTGCTGGCACAGACGCGTGCTCCTCTCCTGTGCCACAGGGCCCGCGCGACCCCAGCTGCCCAGGTTCCGGCCCGCTGCGAGCCACGGGGACGCTGCGGGGTCCTGGGCTAGCGACAGGCTCTGCAGCTCGGCAGGGCACAAGGTGACCGCCTCTAAGCCTGTGATTCCGTCCCCTTCAGGACTTCGCAGCGTGCTCCGTCCACTCTTTCGGGGCTTCCTGAGATTGGGTGCGGACCCGGCTTCCAGTTATTTCTAGGTGGCAGAGCCTGGAGCGCGCGGGATCCACTCTGCTTTTTTAATCCTTCCACAGCTCCTCCAGTGTGACCTTGGGCAAGTAATTTAACTTCCTAGATTTAATTCTTGAAGAAATTTCCTGGGAAGCTCCTAGTGTAACCTCCGTTTTCTTGCAGTTTATTAGCTGTATGACTTGGGCAGGTGACTTGACCTTTCTGACTGCCTCTTCGTTTGTTGAATGCAATACCAACTATTCATTGGCATTCATTGCATTCATTGGCAATTTGAGAGGTTTCCCATAAAACTTGTTTTTTCAGTCCAATGCCTAGAATGCAGGAAGTCGTTATGTCTTCCATTTGTTATTTTCTTCTTTTTTTTTTTGGTACTGGGGATCAAACTCGGGTCCTTGCGCTTGCGTGTTATTTTCTTTTAACTGGTACTGTAAAGAGATTGTTGACTTCAACCCCTACATCCCCCAATTTTTTTATTTTAAGACAGGTCTCACTAGTCTCTAAATTGGCCAGATTGGGCTAGAACTTGTGGTCTCCTGCCCTAGCCTCCCAGAATACTGGGATTACAGGTGTACGTCAGCTAGAAAAAAAGCCTGTATAATTTTTATACTCGTGATCTGGGGAGGTGGGGATTCACAACTCCAGAAACTACACTGTCTGCTAACTGTGAAGAGATACATTTTAGGCGTAAAAATTGAAGTGATTGAAATCAAGTTGAGTTAATGGAAAAACAAGGCTTTATATAATTAATCACTTTAGTCTTTTCAAAGATACCAAAGGTTTTAAAACGATTTGTATACATTTGTCGATTCAGAGTTGTCGAAAAGGTGTTCTATGAACCTTTGACTTGAATAGACCAAAAAAAAAAAAAAAAAGCGAAAAAATGGGGGGTTTTTTTTGGCAGAGTTCTTTAAGATATAATTGTGCTTTTATCTGCCCTGGAGCAGTTATGAAAAGAAAAGGCGAATTTTATACATATGATAATTTCACGTTTACTGAGTATGAAACTGATTAGAATAAAAAATAGAATATTTAGAGTTTAAAAAAGCCCAATATATTCTAGGTGAATATCTTTGTGATTTTTTTTTTTTTACATTATGTATGCACTAAAAACCAGGGACTTGATTTTAAAATACTTACAAATTTTAAGTGATAAAAGCCCTTTTTGGATGTTAATCTTTTTTCTTTCTCTCAGGAGAGCCACAAAATTGTTTTTAAATGGAACTTTGAAGGCAGTATTCAGAACTCAGATTTTTAAATAGACCTGATTGGTGATTCAGTGTGTGATAGGAGCAGAGAATTTCATTTTTTTCAGCTTTTCTGTAGCTCCTTTACCTTAAGAGCGTTTGCACGATAAGGATTCTTAGATGTTCAGGAGTTCTGGGTTGTTTTCTGTTCTATGAAAATAAATTGAATTCCTGATTGGCCTTGTAAGTTGTGACATATTAAGTAAGGACATTTTATTTAGCCCTATGGTCAGTCATCTTTGACTATGGAACTGATGTATTTGATGAGTGCTCTTGTAAAGTGTTCTTTGTCTTACGAGCTTAGGCATTCTCTCTACTGTTAGAAAAATAAACTGTAAAATATCAATACTAGAAAGGAAATCATTCAAAAATTAAAAGAATATTCTTTGAATTAGTATATTTGTTTTATAGTATACAAAATTATACACCTTAATGTGGTTTTTTCTCTTTCTAGGAAAAACCAGACACATCTAGATTTGCTGTTGAAGATATCAGAAATTTCAGTATCATTGCACATGTGGATCATGGCAAAAGTACTTTAGCTGACAGGCTGTTAGAACTAACAGGTATTTTCATTTTATATACTTGACTGCTGTGAGTAATTGGAAATTTACCATGCTTTCTTAAGTTTTGTTTTTAATTTTACAAGTAGTATTTTCTTTTGTGAAGCCTAGAAAAATATCAGTGTTTCTATTTATAGGAACAATTGATAAGACAAAGAATAATAAGCAAGTTCTTGATAAACTGCAAGTGGAACGAGAAAGAGGAATCACTGTTAAAGCACAGACAGCATCTCTTTTTTACAATTTTGAAGGAAAGGAGTACCTTTTAAATCTTATTGATACACCAGTAAGTTACATCTTCCTTGCCTTTTGTTTTCTGATTGTGGTGATTTTAGTGTAACATGCTACAAAGTACTATAAAAAGTCTATAGTTAACTTTTTAGTTAAAGTTTGCTATAATATCCCTCCCTAAAAAATTACAGCTAACATTTAAAAGTACCAATATTTTTGTTTCTTAGGGCCATGTTGATTTTAGTTATGAAGTATCCAGGTCACTTTCTGCTTGCCAGGGTGTTTTACTGGTGGTCGATGCAAATGAGGTAGGATTTTTCAGATTATATAATGTGATGTTTCTGTTTATTTCCAGAGGTATTCATTAGAATGTTTTATTTTGGGAATAAAATTTTTGTTTTTAAATAAAAACATTATTAAAACTTGAAGTGTAATTACACTAAAGCATCCTATGGATTGATTAGTTCTTTTAAATTTTTCAACCTGACCAGAGAGATTGTTGAAGATGTTCTATTTTTTTGTAGAAGTGTAATGCTCTGTTATCAGTACATGCTACCAAAACCTTCCCTACCACTTTTAGCTGTTCTTAATCTGAGTTGCATATCAGTTTGTAGTAGAGCTTAAATATCTTGTGTTTTCAGGTCATGTTTTTTGATTTGAAGGCAATAATTTAGAAAGTACTATGCCTAGTAAAAAATATCAGTACTACTACCAAGTTCTTTTGTGGTATAAGTATGAAACATATGAAAACATTCAGCAGATAGCTATAGAAAGCTATGTTACACAGTATGAAAATATGCTTTTGATATAAATGTTTTTCACAACTTCTTCATTCAAGACTCAGGGATTTTTTTGTTATTTCATTGAGCATTTCTTGAACCCACCAAGGAAAGTCATTCTGTGCCTGCATACATGGTACCAGGCTTTACAAACTTTACCACGTGACTGAGTCTTGTGGTGGACTTTGATGCCCTTGTGGCTGCATGTTTCGTCTTTGTGTTTCTGATGCCTGACACCGTTCCTGGCACAAGAGAGACTTCTAATGTTTCCTGAACTGAAAGGAATGATCACAAGGAATTATTAAGATGCATGGAATGTATGTTCCATAGTTTTTATTTTACTTCTGTATGAGATTCACCATGGCAAGCCTAGTAGAATGTCCATTGGCTCACCCTGCTTGGTTTGGCTATTGCTTTACCATCTGCGATCTTTATTTTGACCCCCCCAAGACAAAACCACAGAGGAAAGTAGGAAGGCTAGTGTTAATCAGCTTTTCATCATTGTAATAAAATCCTTGAAATAATTATGAAGATAAAAAAGTTTATTTGGTCTCTGTTTTGAAGGTTCTAGTCCATGGCTAATTGGCCCTATTGCTTTGGACCTGTGGCAAGGCAGCTCATCGTAGCAGCCCTGTGTGATGGGGTGAAACCACTTACCTCATCAACCAGAAAGCAAAAGAGAGGAAGACAAAAGGACCAGGATTCCACTGTTCCCTTGAGACAGCCTCAATGACCTAAGGACCTCCCCTAGGTCTTATTTCCTAATAATAGGACCCTGGGGACCAAGCCTAACATAATGGGCTTTAGGGGGACATTCAAAATCCAAATTACAGCAGGTAGATACATGCTGTTTGGTTTTATTTTGTTACTAGAGAATTACGATGAAGGTGCATGGAATGCTTTTTGTGATAGATGGTAGAATGATCATCTCAGTCTTTTATGCCTTCATATTTTCAGGGTATTCAAGCCCAAACTGTAGCAAACTTCTTTCTTGCTTTTGAAGCACAGCTGTCAGTAATTCCAGTTATAAACAAGGTAATTATAATAACAACAATGCTATTATTTCAATTTCTAAAATTATACTTAGTGTTTAAGTATCAGGTGTACTATTTTTTTATATGAGGAAACTCCAGCTGTTCAGTGTACTGGTGGGATTTGTGTCTGTGAGCTGCGTGTAACAGAGGTACAGGTCTGAGTCTTATACCCTTGTACATAGTTGAGAAGATAGTACCTGTCAAACACATGTCGTAAGGGAAGGCAAGGCCATTTCTGTATGAAATAGATGCAGGTGGACAGAACACGTCTGTCATACTAAATATACATAGGAAAAGAAAAGGTGCTTATGATCTAAGAGAAAAATCATGAAGCCCACCCGAAAAACATTTCAGTGCTAACCTAAGCTGTTTATAAATATCATTTTATCAAAGTTAAGAGTCTTAATTTAAAATCCTTACATTAGATTCTATTTCTTAATATTGGGGTTAGTTTTAAGAGAAGCAAGACTGCCCATAGGCAAGACAGATTGTTATCAGATTTCCTGTTATGTTTAACTGTTTAAATCAGGCCATGTGATACTAACACAGTGGATTTCTTTTTTTAAGATAGATCTGAAGAATGCAGATCCTGAAAGGGTTGAAAAACAAATTGAAAAAGTATTTGATATCCCAAGTAATGACTGTATTAAGGTAAAAACATCTTTCTTTTGAAAAATACTGATTATACTATAAATACTGATTATACTATAAATATACTCAGATAATTGGCCCAAGTGGTATTTGATCACCTGGCTTTGTATAATGTTTTTGTAGTTTTACAACATTCTTTCACTATTACTTCATTTGATTCTTACCAGAAACCCATTTTATGTTATTATGACATAGACATTTTTGCTGTGTTAGATTTAAATGAACTAAAGCTCATAGATTTTATCACCTTCCTAAGATCACAGGTTTAGTCAGTCATTGTGCGAGGACTAAAACATGAGCCTTCTGAAATTCACTGTAGTATTACACACATTCCTCATTTAACAACCAAGTTCCTGAACTACAGCTAGGTTGTTAAATGATTGGTCGCTAAATAAGGAATTGTATACAGTATGTACATTACAATATTCGTAACAAAGAAATGGTCAAAGGAATATCCAATTTTATGACTTTGCTTTTATTTGTATAACTCTTACTTGCAGTACTGTAATGTATAACAACATAAAACTACTGTACTTTTCTATACAGCATAATCAGCAAAAATTACAATACTATATAAGCAAGGTATACTGTACCGGAAAAAGACATTGTATAAACAAGGTGTACAGAACTGTACCAAAAAAAGACAGGTCTTAAGTCTGAGCGAGTGGTGGGTCTGTAAGTCCAAACCGTCATTAAACAGGTAGTTCATTAAAAGAAGAATATCTGTATTTCTTAAATGCCACTTTACCCCCGAAAAGCAAGTTCAAACAATTTCAAACCATATTTGTTGTTCATGGAATTGACAGCTTATTCATAAGTTTTTTTATAAAGCTAGCTGTAGTTATGTAGTTTTCAGTGTGCATGTTGTATTTAAAGCTAGGAAATGGAGAAATGGCTATGAATTTTATGGTACTATCAGGAAACAATAGATTTATTTATATCAAAATTGATGCCACTGTAAATTTGAATTTTCATTTACCTTTGAAATGATGGTTTGCTTATTAAATAGCCACAAGGAAACTACTATCCTATATGGTAGTTCAATTCTCATTGAAGCAATCTAATATTTTCCTCTGGATCTTAATTTGGTTTCTGAAAGAGCAAATTTCAGGTGACAAACTGGGTTTTTTAAACCCTGAACATAACATTACATACAACCTGGTAATTAAAATAGGACAAGTTGTGGCATTTTGTAGAAATGGAAGCTAGACAAGTTGGGTAAGATAGCTTTATAAGTGTATGCAGAATTCAAATCGTGCTGGGACTTTTAAATAATTTTGAAAATTATTCTAGGATAATGAAAGGACTTTAAAGCAACACAAAGACATAAACTGATCATTCAGGTGGCCAGAGAATGGGTTAGAGGGGCACAAAAAGAGCAGGAAAACCAATTAGCAGAAGTAGCCCAAGTGGAAAATTAACATATTCAAGTATGTACTGGAGCCAGCCATTGGAGAAATGGATAAATAGGATCCTTATTTTTAGATACAGTAAGATTGGATGATGGCTTACATGCAAAGAAGTGAAAGGGAATAATCACAGAGGCTTTGTATTTGAGCAACTGTTTAAATATTGGTATTTATCAATATGTAGATAAATGGAGGAGAAAAAATCTAGAGAGAAAATAAAGACCTCTATTTGGACATAATGAGTTTGAAATGATTATTAGATATCCATGTAGAGATTTTGTGTAAATTCACAGTTCTGACTTCCATGCAAAGTATTGGTCAGGGTGGATACATAGGAGTTATATCCACTTACATGTACTATTTAAAGGCATAGACATGAATGTGATTTCCTAGGGAGAAAAATGTGTTTAGAGAAGATGTCCTAGAAGTCAGACTATATATTGTCAAATTAGAGCATTATGAGTAAGAACTTGAGAAATTTAGAAAGGACAGAGCATGAAAAGGATCAGATTTGTAGAGAAACAGAATGCTCATATTGTAAGAAGAGAAGGCAGAAACCTTGTAGGTACAGTACAGACGGGTTTGTATGTATGGGCAAGGAAGTTTTTGATGTTTTCTGTTTCCTTTATGAGATAAAAATCGTAGTCATTCATCAAAGTGAATTGGCCAAGGTCAAAAATGTGTGGCTTAAAAAGGTGGTGTAAAATAATGTCCTAGTAATGGCAATTCACTAAGAGATATGTCCTGGGACAGTCAGAAAGTGTTAATTATACACTGAAATCTGCAATTACGAATTAAAAAAAACGAACTAGACCAGTTATTTGATTTTTCTCTAGTAATGTTAAACTGCTCCACATGTAGAGAAGGCACAATACTGGATGCATTCAAAGTTGAGGTTTTGGAGGCTGCCTGGGATAGGGAGATAATAGAAAATGGTGCTAAGCAGTGATTGTAGGTGGTAGACCTTGGAGCCCCACCTTGGGAAGGGAGTGGGAGGTAATGGATAAGAGTAATACATTCAGCGGGTAAGAAGTTAAGACTTGTTTCAAAGAAGATACTAGAGTACTGATTCTCCATGGGTTGTGATTCTACCCTCCAGACATTTTAGGTTGTTAAAATTTAGGAGAGGGTATTTGCATCTTGTAAGTAGATGAAATGCACCTAGTTGCTCCTAAACCTACAGTGCATAGGGCAGCCTCGTCAAACAAAGAATTTTCTGGCCTACAATGTCAGTAGTAGTGATGCTGAAAAATCTTGTTATAGAGCAAGTTTGAAGGATAAGTGGTAGTGGGTTTTGAAATCAAGATTTCAGATAGTCCATTTAGTAATAATGACAAAGGTCGGTCACAGGCATGTGGCTAAGTCTTGGCATGCTTTTGAAGAACAACAAAATAGCAACATATTTTGTTTCCCGCTGGCTACATATGTTGTTGACCAAATATGAATAACACGAATAATCAAATATGCATAATCATTTCATTTTTCAGGTGAGGAAATGGAAGGTCAAAAAATAAGTATTGGTTGAAGTCATACATTACATGATTGACTGATGCTTTGAACTCTTTATTCCCTTAACACCATAAGGCGAATATCTTTATAATCAATCCTAGAGCCATAGAACCATTTAAGTGTAGTGCAAAGAGGTATTTGAGTCAGGATTTAGTTTGTGCTTTTCCTTTTGCTCCATTTAAATTGATTATAATTCTTTCTTCCTTCTGATCATAAGTCATAAGTCATCAGTATAGAAAAGTATAGTTTTTAAATGCTTTTTTTTTTTTTTGACCCGGATGTTTTTAGATTTCTGCTAAACTTGGAACAAATGTTGAACATGTTCTTCAGGCAGTTATTGAAAGAATACCCCCGTAAGTATTTTGCTGTTTTTATACTATTCATTTATACTATTCAAGAATCACAAATTTAACTTAGTAGATACGACAAGTTCACTTGCATTGAATGAGAATTTTTGCTTTTAGAAATACATAAAAGGCAAATATATTACAGTAAAATGATGAAAATAAAGGATAGTAGGGATCTCTTCTTGATAATCATAAAAGACTTCAACACATTAGCAATTATTGTCCTTTGTTTTATACAAACAAATATATTAAATAATTAAAAGATAATTATTGATTTATAACTAGTATATTAAGTTTAATATACCATATTTTATACAAAGGTCCTTTTTAGGTATCACCCTTTCTCAAGAACTGGAATAAATTAAGCATAACACCTAAGTTGAAAATAGGCATTTTATTAATATTTTACTTTTTAAACTTATATTTAATAGTCCTAAGGTGCATCGCAAAAATCCTCTGAGAGCTTTGGTATTTGACTCCACCTTTGACCAGTATAGAGGTGTGATAGCCAATGTAGCATTGTTTGATGGAGTGGTTTCCAAAGGAGATAAAATTGTATCGGCACATACTCAAAAGACATATGAAGTTAATGAAGTTGGAGTTCTGAATCCTAATGAGCAGCCAACTCTTAAATTGTAAGTAATCTGTAACAGTAACTAAAATGCTTGTTTGTATTTCTTTTTCTGCCTCTTTCAACTTTGTGTGCTTAGAATGATCCCAGTTGGCTAACCTAAAAAACTGATTTAATGCAGCTATACAGCACAAGCTTTGTCACAAGGATCTCAAGTGTGACAAATGGTAGAAACTTTTATGGAAAGAAAATATAGTTGGTTTTTATTCTTCATGACCAATCATGACGAATTTAATGATCCACTGCAAATTGGATCCTATATTGATATATTTGATGGGACAAGGAAAGTGTTATAGCCATATCCATGTTGTTTTTTTCCTTACACTTAATTTCATTGCAACTAGACTTTCCAACATAAAGGTAATAGAGAAATTTTCATTCTTTTCTTTAATGTGAAATTAATGGTAAAACTTTAAAATCAAGAGAAGGAAATTAGCAAGGTAGTGTGCATTAGAAAAATAGATCCTAAGTTCACTTATAAAACAACTGTTCTATTGCATGCCTACTCTGTGTTAGATACCAGTGAGCTATAGCCTTGGACACAGTTTGCGGTTTCTTAGGTTGCCTCATCTGTAAAAATTAAAGAATTGAACCAGATGACCTCATAGATCACATTCAAGGGCTTAATGTTGTATGTCTAAAAAATGTTATGGTGCGCACTCATTATATTTTTTGAGTCAGAAAATTTATTTTCATTTTAGAGAGGTATTTCTAAAGGCTGTTTATGTTCGGCCGTGTAGTATTTAACATTATTGCACCTTCATTTAATGTTCTCATAGCTTATCCTATATATGTTTGTTATTGCATAGGTAATATTTTTTAAACTAAGATAAACCTAAAATTTTAGAATTTGTTTTTTCCCATAAGACAAAAGCTGGATATATATCAGGTTTGTTGAGAGTTCACATTTTTCTGCTTGACTTAAAATTTTATTTTGGAAATTTTTAAATTTGCAAAATGTGGGCAGTCAGGAAGATTTAGAATTGTGCAGAGGTTTTTGGGTATGTAGATAAGACATGGTATATTCTTTTGCTGATAGAGTTTATCAAGTTTATTAAGTAGAGAATTGCTATGTCCACTTATTTGTACTTCGATGAAGTTTTGTTTGGAAATTATGTGCTAGTTTCCTGTGAAGGTGGAACTAATTTAACTGTGTACTTAAAACGCTAAAACAGTAAATATGTGCATATAATAATTTTATTTAGATATGCAGGACAGGTGGGCTATTTGATTGCTGGGATGAAAGATGTCACTGAAGCACAAATAGGAGATACCTTGTATTTACATAATCATCCAGTGGAGCCCTTGCCTGGATTTAAATCAGCAAAACCAATGGTATTTGCAGGTGAGGAGCTCACAAATGTAAAGGTTGAGGGCCAAGGTATTTTTAAACAAAAAGTCTGTGTCTGCAGTGAAAGAAAACTTACTAGCAGATAAGTATACATTCTAATTATTTTAAGTAACTGGTAATGCCAGGATACTGTTGTTTGTTGTGTATGTGCATGTGTGTTACATTTCTACAATTTATAAATTTATATATATGATAAAATTTTATATGGGAGATCATTTAGGACTCCTTATGAGCTGACATATAGGAGCATAGTTAATATGAATTATCTTGTTTCTCTAAAGTTAGTTCCTTATTACATTTGAAACATTTTTCTAATTAGGATGTTTTTATTATAAATTATTGGTAGACATTTACTGAATGGCCTCCTCTTAGCTGGACTTTATATTGCACTAGTGCAGACATGACAGAGAATAGTATATCCTTGAGTATGTTATCTTTGGAACTTTTTACTACTGTGTGATACCAGAGACATTTGGAATAGGTTATCAAGTTAACTGTATACAAGGTGTCTAGCCCTTGGTTTTCTTCTAATGATCTCTCTCACTGGGAATTATGCATTAACTCAGTCATAAAGATTTTGGAGAACTTTTAAGATGTGGACTTCTTGGATGTGAGAAGAAAGAGAATGTGATGATTAAGTACCTTCCATAGTTTTTGTTAGTAAATTGTGAAAAGCACATTTTATCTTTGGTTTAAATAAGTACAGAGAATTAAGAGTTAGGTAAAGTTATTAACAGTTTTATTTATGGTTGTGGAATATTTTATGCTTTTGATTTTTGAAGCAGTTAGTTTTCCAATTAGGCCTAATTCCCATGATTCATTCTTGTTTTTTTCCATCTAAATTTTCTGCAAAAGCATAAAAACACTGAATCCAGTTATATATTCATTAAAGCTACTGACTTGGAAGACATTTTGCAATCAATTTAATTTAATATTCATAGATTTTTAACAAGCCAATGTTTTGTTCAATCCAATGTAGAAAAGTAATGTAAAAGCAAAATGGTCAATATTAAACTTAGCATGACACTATATTAGGTTTGTTCTGTAGACGGTTTATCACATGTAATAACGAGAAATCCTTATGTCCCCAGGAATGTATCCTATAGATCAGTCTGAATATAATAACCTGAAGAGTGCCATAGAAAAACTGACTTTAAATGACTCCAGTGTGACAGTACATCGGGATAGTAGTCTTGCCTTGGGTGCTGGCTGGAGGTAAGATTCATTCATATTGTAGACTTGCCATGTTATGGGAGAGTAAAGTAGTACATTGCTCATGAACATTTCTGTCTTTTTTTTTTTTTGGTATGGGGGATCAAACTCAGGACCTTGCACTTGCAAGGCAGGCAGTGGTACCACTGAGCTAAACCCCCACCCCGCTCATGAACATTTCTGAAGATAAGTTCATTTTAGTAAAATGAACTAAAACATTTTATGTATGCCTTTTCCACACCGTGGCTTCACATTTTATGAATTAAGTTTTCTAGTGGTTTAAAATAGATTCCAATGGAAGATTTGAATTTTCTTTATAAAATGATAGTAGCATTGAATTGGATGTGAATTGCCTAAATGATTCTTTTGATTCCATTCCTCCTCTATGATGTAACAATAAGTTCACCAAAGAAAACAAAAAATAGAGCCCATAGGACACAAACATTTCGGAGTTTGACTTTTTTCTACCAGGTTGGGATTTCTTGGACTTCTGCATATGGAAGTTTTCAACCAGCGACTAGAGCAAGAATATAATACTTCTGTTGTTTTGACAACGCCTACTGTTCCATATAAAGCTGTTCTTTCATCAGCAAAACTGATAAAGGTACTATAATTTTTTGTACCAACATAAGAAGGAAAACTTCTTGTGTATGCAGAATGTTAAGAGAAACCTTTTAGTATATGAATAGCTGAGTGGCTAGTAAAACTATGTATTGATTAATAGTAATAAAAATTGAATTGGCTTATGTTTAATAATGAAGAACCGTTTTATTATAATTTTTCTTAATCGCCACATTATCAAAACTAGTCTGTCACTGGCATTAAAGTATAAAATTAGTAATGAAAATACTGTTCTAAATTTTAGCACAAAGTTGAAAAATGTAATTTTGGTCAAAGAATTTCTTACAAAAAGTGAAGCACTCATTTCTGTGGCTGTGGGATTAGATTTTAAGTTAATGATAGAAATAATATTATTTTCCTTTTAAGAAGAAATTTATTAATGTTAAACAGATACTAACTTTGACATCTGTTAGTATTTTGGGAAAACAATTAACTTAGTTGTAAACTAAATTATACTGTAGTATTATGTTATAATACTATAGGTCAGATCTAAATGTATTTTGTCATACATTTTCTAAATGGTCCAGGAAATGTGTTTAGTAAATGTTAATAACCAAAATATATTATTTATTAATAATTCTTGGTAATGTTAAATGATTACACTTGGAAGGTTGTTAATCTAAAGCATGTTAAGATATATAGCATTCAAGAATTCTTTTATTATTAGTTGCAATGAATTAGTTAACAAAAATTCTCTACTATATAAGTTAAAAACAAACACTGAAGAGAAATAATTATTAATATTTCTTTTTAACATTTATTTTTCTAATTTTTAGGAATACAGAGAAAAAGAAATCACAATAATCAACCCTGCACAATTCCCTGACAAATCAAAAGTAGCAGAATATCTAGAGCCACTTGTTCTGGGCACTATTATCACACCAGATGAATATACTGGAAAAATAATGGTGCTTTGCCAGGTAGAAGTGCATTCAATTTGTTAAAAAAAGTAGGTTTTAGCCCTATGAAACAGTATTCCTAGCTCAAGTTTTGAAAAATTTCCCCCTGGTACATAAACAGTTTAGTAAGAGGTTTTTATATGTATCTGTCTGCATCTATACATGTAGATAAAGATACATATACTTTATAAACTCTTTTGATGTTACATAAGAAAAATATCAGTAATTTTTATCATGTGTGTTAACCTACTGAATTGACACTTTAGCCTAAAAGAAAGAGATCTAATACTTACCCTGTAGTGGTCAAAAGTGTGATTTCTTATAGTCTGAGTACTTCAAATTGAATATTGTTTGAAAGGTAATTATAAAACTTCCGGACTCTAGATTGGAAGGTATCTCCCATTTTGCATTATAGTTTTTTGCCATATTGTAATAATAATTCAAAAATGGAATGTAATCATGTTCCCCAAAAATTCCTCTTTGAAGTATTGTAGCACATATTATAAAGTGTATCAGATAGTGACTAGAAAACCTGAGTTTTAATTCTTTTATCACAACTTGTACTGTAATTTTGGTTAGTCATTTAATTTCTCTGGACTTTATTTACTTATAAAAAATTAGGACTGATTGCAATTAAGTTGATTTAACCACTAAATGAAGTAATTATAATTTTTAAAAATCAAACTTAAAAACAAGGGATTAAAAGCTTTGGTCACAAGCATAATATAACTGAAATTAAAAAATGGTTCTGCCTATATTAAAAAATATTGCTTGAGACACTGAAGAACTATTTCTATATTTCATCATTTTTTCCACTCTATTATTAGGATTTGTACCTTGGTAATTGATATCTATGTTTATCAGTTTAGATTAATATTTGAATAAGTTATTATTAAATTCATTTTTTTTCTTTCTGTTTTAGGCTCGAAGAGCAGTTCAGAAACATTTGATATTTATTGATCAAAACAGAGTTATGCTTAAATATCTCTTCCCTTTGAATGAAATTGTGGTAGATTTTTATGACTCTTTGAAATCTCTGTCTTCGGGATATGCTAGGTAAAAAATTAATGGAAATATCAAATGGTTAGACAACTGTTTTGAAATACAAGGATACTAATATTTCACCTATTTAGTAATCTCAGGTCTCTTAAGCGAGTCAGGAATCATATCTAAAATTAGAAAGATTTGAAACCTTTTAAGTATTAGAGAATATTTGTAATTTCCTTATAAGAGAAAAAGTTCTTTTGATTTATCATCAATCTGTTGCTCTTAATGAAAAAAAGTGATACTCTTCATGAAGAGTGTATTCCTTCGATCTTGTGGTTAAGAACTGTACATATTTTCAAGATGCTATTGTTACCTCTGGTATTTTCAAAATGTAATTGTGTGTTATGTGATTCTGGAAGCATCTATTTACATTTGAAAAATGGAAGTACATCTTCAGTCTATAAAAAGTGTAGGTGTACACTTACACTTATGTATACTTTAATAACTTGGTCTTCCCGGGATTAAATGGTCCACATCATAAAAACCACTGTGAGTCCCATAGGAGTACATGGAGCACAGCCAGATAAAAATGAAAGGAAAATCACTATTAGCAAATAAGGAACCTAAGGGTATAGCATTCTAGCAGTCTTTTCTCTTGTGGCAGATAATTCAAGATGTCCTCACTATCCTAAAGTGTTTACAGACTAGAATAGAATACAGTAGAATATGAAGAATATATGAAACATACTGGGAAAGTAGAAGGGAAAAACTGAAGCACACACAATGCTAGCATAGTAAAAGAAAATTTCCAGGGTTTCAACAGGCCACACTCACCTGAATGTTTAACTTTATGAAATGAGCTTTTCAGTGAACAGAGTTGGCATACACAGGAATTCTTTTTACCAAGGAAATCTTTCTTGTTTGTTTATATTGAAAACTTACTTTTCTACATTGTCACCCAGGTTTTTTTCCTTGTATAAATCTTCTTTTAAACAAGATTTTTAATAAGTGACAAGTTTAAAATGAAATGAAATTAAAAATAGTAGGCTTAATGTTTGTATAAACACTTTTACCAAAAGTGCATGAATTATATTATCTTTGGGTATTACTTTGAATTAAGTTGTCTTAAAATCTTTTAGCTTGGCAACTTAAACACACTTCAAAAATGATTTTGAACTACCTAAGAAAATATTGCAACTTCCTAAATCACATGTAATTCTTATGTTCAAGATGAATGTTTATCAAAGGCAGTCCATTCCACACTGAACAAATTCATTAGATCATAGATCTCCCATGGATTGAGATCAGGAAAAATTTATTTTATACCAAAACAGCAAGAGTCTACTGCAACTCCCTTAGAACAAAGATGTGATGCCAAATCAAACAGCTGTTTGCCCTCAAATCTCCAAACTCAGTATTCTTTTGGAGTTTCAAATATGTTTCCCACATTCTCAGTTGACACCAGAGTACTTCTGTTTTAATTAGAGGTTATGTTTCCATTATTTGTATAATGGTTTCTTTTGTAAACAAGTTATTTTAAAATTTTGGAGCTGTAAACATCGGAGTCAAGAGGATACATCTACATTTTATTACCACTTTGTATTCTCCATACTCCTTAACATGGTGCCTTTAGTATATTCAAGTTGTAATGAAGAAAGTTTTAGCAACACTTGAGGCAATAATTTGGTATTACAGTGAAAATTTTAGAAACCAAACATATTTGCAGTTATTTGACACTAGTTAAAATTAAGGCAACAGGAAAATACATCTCGCCCATGATAGGAAGACTTGGAAGCACAATGGCAATTTTCTTTCTTAGGTACTGTTTTGTAAGTTAAACATGAAGCTTTGGCTATATATTGTTAATAGTGGTAGCTAAAACTAAGTGCTGATATGTGCTGAGTTTTAATTACTTAATGTGCACTAGACAGTATTCCAAGTGGTTTACACATATTAACTCATTTAATTGTCACAAAAGCCCTGTGAAGGTACAAACGAGTTCATTTATGAATGAATGTTTGTCAGTGACATATTATTTATTTAAATATAGGATTGTCATTATTAGTACAACACTAAACAGAAAATTTATGTATCCTGAGAATGACTCATTAATAGTATTGGCCAGAGTCCAACATTGGGAAGGAGGTGAAATTTACTTCATTAATCTATTAACTTCTAGTCTAGCTTAGCCACTTTCTTCTTCCTCCCTCTGGACAATGTAAACAAAAAGATAGAACAGGATGTTCCTTTCCATGGACATTTAGAACCATTTACATAAAAGTGTGTATATAATATTTTGACTCAAAGTTAGATTTTGAGGGGTAGTAAAAAGGATAGGAAGAGCGACAATTTTGTAAAGAAAGAAAAATGTAATTGGCTGGGAAGTATGTTTATAATTTGGATGTTTTTCCTTGTTAGCTTCGATTATGAAGATGCAGGCTACCAGACTGCAGAACTTGTAAAAATGGACATTCTCCTGAATGGAAATATTGTAGAGGAGCTAGTAACTATTGTACACAAGTAAGCTGAATCGAAACTTATCATGAAAGGTGAAAGTAATAGCTTTCGAATGTTTTGTTATTGGACAGTCATTTTTATTTGATCAGCTACATTTTAATAACATTTAAAGATAAAATACATTTCTCTGCAATGTTTCCATTGTTTTTCTACACTTTTTTCCAGTGTACTAAATATATAGAGTAGAAAGTTATATTAGCTAGAAAGAATAGTGGCATAGAAAGAAGTGTTTCAATTACATACCTTGTGAAATTTTTTTTTTAATGTTTTTTTAAACTTTATAATGATGGTTTTTGGATCCAGAACAAAAAAGGTTTTATGTTCATAAAAATAATACTGAAAAATCAGATGTTCAGGAACTGGCAGATTGGTTAAGATAAATTATTGAAACTTGTGAAAACTGAATGACAAAAATGTTCATTAAGAAAACAGGATGTACATAAGCTGGTCTAGCTAAAATGAATATGCAAACACAGAACAACGGATGTATGTTTAAAACAAATATAAAAGTGTTTACTAGTATTTTCTACAGGAGGTCAAGAATGGTTTTTACTCTCTAATATGTGTTCCTAAGTTTTGTAGACTTTATTTTTCCAGTACTGGTAATTGAATCCAGGGCCTTCTCACTGAGCTATATCTCAGCCTTTTATAGCTTTTAAAATTTGGGACAGGAAGCCAGGTCTGGTGGTACATGCCTATAATCCCACACTCAGGAGGCTGAGGCAAGAGGATTGCCACGAGTTCGAGGCCAGCCTGTACTACAGAGTGAAATTCTGTCTCAAAAACCAAAAAACAATAAATTTGGGATAGGGTCTCAGTTGCCAAGTTGCGCAGGCTTGGCCTGAACTTGTGATCCTTCTGTGTTAGCCTCCCAGAGTACTGGGATTATAGATGTGCACTACCATGCCTGGCTCATATTTTTTAAAAGCAGAGAAGTTATTCCTGGTTCAAATATTAGAATTTTTTAAATAAAAAATGAACTCTATTTGAATCATTAAAAAAATCACCTTTACATTGTTTATACATATGAACTTCAAAGATATTTTAATTATTATTTAGGATATGTAAATCATTGTATTTCTTTTTTCTGTCTCAGAGACAAAGCATACTCTGTTGGGAAAACCATATGTGAACGTCTAAAGGATTCTCTTCCTAGGCAGCTGTTTGAGATAGCAATTCAAGCTGCTATTGGAAATAAAATCATTGCAAGAGAAACGTGAGTTGAAATTATTTCCAGGCTATTTTTAGAAGTGAAATAACTAGAAAACCAAAGAGTATTGAAACTTTTAATATTGGTTCAAGTTTTATTTACTTGAAGAAAGAGTAAAGTAGAGCTGACTCTCAGTTCCACTGGTTTAAGTGATGACTGCTACTTTGAATTATATAACACCACTGGGAGATGTTAAAGTTAATGTAAGATATGAGTTAGAAAATTTCCACTTACTTACACTGAATGACTTGATTTTCGTGGGTAAGGAATATCTTTAAGGTTTTATCCAGGTAGGTTATAATCTATTCAGGTAGATTATAAGAGAACCTAAATCAAAAAACAAAAATTAAAGTTTTTCTACCTGAAGTATTTAATGTCACTTCCCCCAAGCTAGGGAGCTTGTAAATCAAAAAGAAATACTAATTTCTCCTTAAGCTTTACATTCTCAACTTAGGGACCTTGCATGGGTTATTAGTAGATATGGAAGATTGGTTATTTTTTGTAGCAAAGTAGTCTTTTCCATAAAATGAAGTGTATAAATCAAACTCTGAAAAAGCTGCTTTAACTTTTAACAGCAAGTACAGGAAATATTTTGTAGTGTTTCCCTTCCATTTATTATTGCAAGACTTCTGGAAAATCAAAAATACCTCATGAAAAGCTGGAAATTGCCATTAAAATTCTAGCTTAAGCCAAAGCTAATGAAGTAATAGTGGGTATTTTATATAGACTCAAGATAAATTTTATGTCTATTATTTGAAATGAATTTCATCTCTGTTAACACTATTTTGCTATATAGTGTGTTCCATACAAAGAAATTAGGCAGAGTGGAGTTGATAATGAGAGGAATATCCTGGAAAGTGCAATTTAAAACAGTATATGGCCATCTAACAAAATTCTGTTGAGGTAGAGAATTCCTTAAGGAAATAAAATAATTTTTATATTCTAAGGAGTACCTAAAGGGAGCTATTTTTTCTAGCTTTTTTTTTTTCGATACCAGGGATTGAACTCGGGACATTGCACTTGCAAAGTAGGCAGCAGAACCACTGAGCTAAATCCCCAGCCCAGGAGCTATTTTTTTTAAAATTAGAGATATATGGAAATTTCTTGGAAATATTACAGTATTATAACTGATGGGATGGGTATATTGAAATTATATATATATATTAAAATGCTTTGAGATGGGTTATATAAAAAGATTCAATTGAGTAATATTCTTTATATTCCTAGCCATACCAGCCACATATGTTGGAGTCAATGATGAGTTAATAACCATTTTTAATTTTATTGAAATAGTAGTATTTCTAGGCTGAACCAGAAATAACGTGATAAAATTCTAGTGTCAAAGTCACATCATACTCTTGATTTGGCCTAATCATACCTGATAGCTATAAGCTTTGACTTTTTTTCCTTTAATAAAGTACATAAATGTTCATAATCCTGATGAATTTATTTAGTTTTTTATGCTAATTATGTAAAAATAAATGTAAGAGCATTTGAAGTACTTTGCTTATAGCAGTTTTACATAGGTAATGACATACTCATTAAAATCTTTTAGTAAAGGGAAAACTCTTTGGAAAAAAAGTACAATGAAATTATATACTTAGGTAAAATTTCCTCTTTTACAGTGTGAAAGCCTATAGGAAAAATGTTTTGGCAAAATGTGTACGTATCCAGCCTCATTTATTCTACTTTGTAATATGTCTGCATTATGGGTTTAAAATCAAAGGGGGTATAAATGTTGCTTTCCATTGCTGGTTTTTATATGCCCTTTATTTCTTTCTAAATAGTAAGTAAAATTTATCTTGACCACAGTAATTCATTTTGGCATTATTAAATATATTCTAATCTTATTTATAAAATTTCTTCATATGAAATACTAAGGATTTTTTAAGTTATTTACATAATCTGGGCAACGTGTGTTGATTTAATATGTAATGAAAGATTTTCAAAATAATGACTACTGCAGTGGGAACAGTATGGGCACTGTAATTTACCTCTCTTATACTGCTTTGCCAAAGTTTGCTGTCTCCATTAAATTTATTAAATTAGTTATTAAGAACTGAATAATTTTTTCTAAATGCTTAGCATAGCTTCTACCACGTTTATGACAATGTTAGTTTCCTTATCAGACTGTAGCTATACAATCCAAAACTTTAAGACAATAGAGAAATACAAATAAAGCCTTTATCATTCTTTGAGCAGGTAGTAAAATTAACAAGGAGATTAGAAAGATAACTTTACAGATGTCTCCTTTATGGATAATACTTTGGTAAGGGGTTAGAATTATATTGCTGAATATGTAATTGTATTATTATTTTTCCATGAAGTGGTCTGGACTTAACATTTTGCAAAATATTTTTCAGTATGGTGGTGACATCACCCGAAAAATGAAACTGTTGAAGAGACAAACAGAAGGAAAAAAAAAACTGAGGAAAATTGGCAACATTGAAGTCCCAAAAGATGCTTTTATAAAAGTTTTAAAAACACAGTCTAATAAATAATTCAGAATTTGAAACTATTGTTAAAAACTGTATTGTTTTAATAAAATTTTATCATGTGTTGACAATGAAAACTTTAAAATTTACTTCTTACTTTCAGGGTTTTCAAGTTTAACCTACTGCCTTTTCCTTCAAAGTCTGCATGGATAAGAGGTAGGATTCAGAAGCCATATACTTTCAGATTTCTGTTCTGCTACTCACTACTCATCCAAGCAAGATTACTTACCCTGTAGAACAGTATACTCAAGATTACCCTACTTTACCACTGCAGGTTGTTGTAAAAATTAAATGATTAAATGTGTGATACACAGTTAAGCACAGTGGATTTTAACTTTGTCTTCATTCTGGTTTAATCCTTACACAAAAAGTCCCTATATTGATGATTCCCTCTAGTTTAAATGAAAAGATTTTCAATGTCACCAAAGTGTCAGTTGTTAGCTAGATCAATTCACCTGATATATATGAATCATTTACTAAAGGAAACTCTTATTTAAACATTTGCTATAGCTTTTAATAAGATGTTTAGACATTTTATCAAGTGTCAGTTAACTAGATGGTTTACAGTATACCTCTAAACTAAGACTAGGGCAGATGTTGTGTTATTTCTGCCCATGGAAATGCCTTTATGCAAAATGATAGGCATATGGTATTAGTAGCAGGGGCTACATTATATTGTTACCTGAGATAACACAGCCAGTAAACTGCTGTGTTAATTCAAAGCATTTAATGCCATTTTCATTCAGTCAAGAAACCAGCATGAAGAATATGTTACAGAAACAAGATATTTAGCTGTTGATTTTTGTCATCCACCTTGAATGAGGAAAATGTATTTTAGGGATAAGACCATCAGTGATGAATTTTATACTCTGTGTTACATTGTGGGATAATTTTAATTATAAATTAAGATAGTGAGGATTATCTGTAGAGGTAAATTGTGAATTATAAATTATAAATTAAGATAGTGGAGGGCCAGGGATTTAGCTCAGTGGTTCAAGCTCCTGAGTTCCATCTCTGGTACCAAATTAATTAATTAATTGAGATAGTGGAGATTTAAGATTATCTGTAGAGGTGAAGTCTATGGTTTATCTTACATATATTAATTAATCAGTTCATTTACTTTTCCGTTCTTGCCCTAAAAGAACACTGATGAAATATGGAGCTCCATGACAATAGTATTTTCAAAAATGGCAGTATATTTGAATTAGGAAAATAGTTTGGAGTACCCATTATTACCAAGGGAAAGTCACAAGTTGGTACCTGGCACACAATAAACACTGCGTCTGTTGTAACATCTGTGCTTTATTTGGGCAAATGTTATTCTCCTTTAACCTTTGACTCTAGGAAATACTTTTACTTGCGCTGATCCTAGCACAAAAAAATATTTTTCACATTATTTTCTATTTAATAACACTTGAGATTAACCCAGGGGCTAATAAAGCTGGATACCTAGCCCTTTTTCTGAAACATGGTCTCACTAAATTACTCAGTCGGGTCTCAAACTTGAGATTCTCTTACCTAAGCCTTCTGGGTAGCTGAGCTTAACAGACTTGTGCCACCATCCCTAGCTCATTTTCCATATTTTTATCTTAAGGTCTCTCCTGTGGCCACTTTTCCAATCAGATGATTTCAGTGATCTGGAGCTGTGTGTCTTACAAGCATATACTCCCCCACTGACATTATATTACTAAGATTTCTATAGTGATATGTATGACTATAAAATAGTTCAGTTTGATGTGTCAGTTACTATGCTTGGTTCTGTATACTCCCTTTATTCAGTGTACATGACAAAAGGGAAAGAAAGTTTAAGATTTCTTTTTACCAGAGGCCAGTTACTGACTGAGCTGGAATTCAAACAATGCTTTCATTCTTTAGAAGTCAATGTTATTGCCTCTTGTGAAATGACCTCAATAAGCTTGCAAATTCTTTTAACAGCATCTTACCTTCTGATTTAGGGAGTTACAGAGGCCAGAGTAGTTTGCTGAAGAGTTAGAGCACATGGACTTAAAGTGGCCTCTTAAAATCAGCTGTAATGAAAAAGTATCTAGTATCTTTAAGACCTTGAAAGCACAGAAATATCTGTGAATGGTATACCAAAAGCGACTCCTTTGGCTTTTTCACTATGATCCTTTATGACCAAAGACAGTAATCTGCAGTAAACATTTCTTAGTACCAAAACTATTATTGCCAGATTCTACTGATATACTGGGTTAACTAAAAACCTTTTGTAAAAGGTTTAAACATCATCTCTAATTAATGTAAAGCAGCATAATTTCATTCTAGAAGTCTTATCTTATTTTTAGTTTACTTGCTATTTAAATTTTTTAAGCAACTTATTTTAACCATAGATTATTAAGCAGATACGTAAGTAAGGCTTCTACAAAGTGCGCTTATAAAATGCACAATATGCAAAGGATGAAGTTTGTTCTTTACTCCTCATGGGACAAAACTAAAACTATTGGTAGGTAGTGTCCTTAATTTAAATCTCCTAATTGCATAATGGCAACAAAGTAAATGTAGGCTCACAAGTACTATTAATTGTTGGAATCTCCCAAATGCACATGTTGTTTCACTTCTAGAAATAAAATTTAGATAAAACTCCTTATTATTAATAAGCTTTATTTGAGTTAAAGATAGAAAACAATATAGATCTGCAATTTATTCAATTATCACAATCTGCAATGGATTACAGTAATTATATATTTCACAGTACCTTTTTAGACATTTTATATATAAGGAATAAAGCTAATTTATGAAATTTAGCAATAATCAGAAAATATTCTTCAAAAGAATTCAGGTTTATATAAAGCTCATAATTGCTAAGCTATATATGTGGGGGAGCATGAACCTATGTCATTAAAAAAAAATAAGCTTATTTGTAAAAAGGTGCTATATAAGAAGGTACGCAAAAAAGCATGCACTTACACATACTTTCCAAAGGGATGTAAACTACTTTTAGATACTGTCATCTCTTCACATTTCCTTTACCAACAATATGTAGCAGGGCTTTTGATGTCCAAATACTACTGCTGAAAGATGACTAAGGCAACACCGTGCAGAAAATCATGTGTATAATACACAGATCTAAAGAAAGCATTCCAAAAGTAAAGATTTGCAATGAGAATTGTTTGATAAATGAAAGGCTTAGAGTGTCTTCCTGTAATTAAAGAATAATCTATGTTATGTCACACATGGTACCTCAAGTCAGCAGACATTTCTATGCTGTTTTATATGTGGCTATGTAGCTTTCTGTAATTGATAACAGCCAACCAGCTTGGAGAGTCAACTGTTTCTCTTAAATCCTAGTATAAGAAAGTCATTCTAAATATGGAATGTTTAACATATAATGGATTTTAAAAGTGACAATCTTCAATATTCCCATGATTTATCATATTGCATAGCTGAAAATGCATCTAATAAAGTGGTCTTTTCAAGTAGAATTTTGCTTCAATCTCCTTCAATTTCCTTCTTTCATACTGTATAGTGGATCCACAAGTTTATTGTGCACATGCATTAAACCTTAAAGAAAAAAAGCACAGTTCTAGATGTGTTTTTGATCTATCTCATTTACTGTAGAAAACAAAATATTTAGAAGATACAATAAGTATATTTGGTACCCATCTGACACAAAAAAGTCAAGTTTACTGAAAAAATGCAAATAGAAATGTTTTAAAATATTTAGTTTTAACTACCTAGCAAGAATCAGTTAATAATTATTTATGAAAATGAGGATCTAAAATGTGTACAGCACTTTGGAAGTAACCAGAGTAGGAACAGTTCTTTGTCTTCAGAGAGCAACAGTTTGACAGGATAGCAAACTTGAACACAACATGGACAGTGTATTTTAATTACATCTAAAGTTACAGTGACTTGATCCTCTGTCAGTTCTTCTACTAGATTCCAGGTAGGGACTAGAATTGCTCTTAAACTAAGATAGCTTCAGTCTTACAATATATTACTCTGTGCATTGATTATATAAGGTTTACTAAAAGAATACAGAAGCTTGTATTAAATAATTTAGAGTAGAAATTAGATTTTAAATTTAAGGTTTCAAATTTCATTTTAAAATTGGTATGTATGCTTCAGAGTGGTGATTTAAGATTAATATTATGTAGATTTTAAATTTAATTTTATAATGGGTACATATGCTTTTGCATAGTTCTTACTTATTAAAGCTTACCTTTAATACAAGTACTGGCCATTATTAAATATGCACCAAAATGTAAAACTCATGTGATAGCAATCGAATTATGACAAAACCAGGACTGGTAGAGGGTTTATCTAGGGATTACTGGACCAGAAAATGGACATGTTAAATGCCTTAAAACTGACATTTAAGAGCCGGGGATTTAGCTTAGTGGTGCTGTGCTTGCCTGGCAAGCATAAGATCCTGAGTTCAATCTCCAGTACCAAAAAACAAAACAAAAACAAAACTGGCATTCAAATTTGCACATAATGAGTGTTATTTGTATTAACTTCAAGGAACTTAACACATTTGTGATGAAATCTAGAGAACTACACGGAAATATATTGTATAGGTAAAACTGCACCTGCAAACTCATCTTATTCATCACAACTGATCACTGAAATGCTGTTTCTACCTATCAAATTAAAAAGAAGCCAACAATTTCTTATCTTAATTTGATACATTTTTGGCTTGGTAAAATTCTTAATTTAAATGACAGTGTAATGTGTTGCACAAGGAAATGTTTAAATTATGATACATCTACTTGACTGTACCCATTAGAAATGCTTTTGAAGAACAGTAAAGCAGGAAAATGCTCACAAAACATTAAATACAAATACAACACAAAACTATACAACATCAAAATTATTTTTAAAATGAGATTTTCAATACTTGCTAAACTTCAACCACTTGCATACCACTTTCAGCATTTTTGCCATAGTCTAACATTTACATGAAGTATAAGTTAATGATTTCCTTTAAACTGAATAATACTTTTTATATTTGAAATGCTGTATATTTAAGACACCATTTTATGTACTGTTCACAGAAAATGTTATCAGATAAGGTATGACATGACACCAATTTTGACATATCCCAATTAAAGATGAATATGTCTGAGTCAATAAAATACGGTTTCTTAATCTTGTCTTAAGCAGTAATATTCATGAGATTTGATTTATTCAGTAAATTCTTTTTTGATACCTGTTAGTCACTATAGTAAGATTAAAATGTATATTCATTCATATAACAGAAGGAACACACATACTATAAACTATAATATCATCTATATAAATACAGGTGATTTATAAAGAAATAATTTCCATAGCTTGGTTATGTGTTTGGGTTTATATAGCGAGCCCGCTCTTAATCAGGTAATAGGTTCTAAGTTTCGTGTAGTAAAAATGTCCCTTAAAATCTAAACCCATTATGTCAAGTGTATGTGACTTTAAATACACAACTAAGTACAATAAGGTTTGAAAATTACTACAATAGAATACAGGAAAAGCAAACAGAAAATCATGCAGAAGTCTGGGCAATGGCACTCCTGCTGATTTGTAATGTTTATTCCCCAGTGTTTTAAAATGGCCTTTATAGGGGAAAATTGAAACTGTGATGATTGAATGAGTGGAAGATGCATTTTAACTACTGTTTAGGATTTAAGTAGAAAGTTGAGACGGGGCTGGAAACATGAAAAGAAACTCAGAAAACACATAGATATACATTCTATTTGGTTATTTAATCTGGTATATTCAATATGAAAGTAAAATACTAAATTTTAGATTTCAAGAAAAATGTATTTACTGAGAATATAGATTTAACAAAATAGGGCAATGCTCTGAAAGCTACTCTTATCCCAAGTGAAAAGGTTTATTCCGTGAAAAATTAGCTGTAGTATCAGCACAATGCTAGATTTCAATAAGACTGAGTAATACTAAGTTTTGTCATCTACAACAGAATATCTCACTCTCTGCTTTTGAAATTCAACGCTCACCTTTAAAGTATTTCACAGTTTTAACTCTTAATTCTAAAGTAGCATCTTCATCACATACAAAAATAGTTCTGGGATGCTGCTGGAAAGCTGAAACAGTCCACATGTGATTGACTCCTTCTTCTATTGCTTTGTACAAGGCAAATGCTTTGTGTGCACCTGTTATGAGGATCATCACCTGAAAAATCATGCACATTCATTGTTAATAGTTAAAACATGTTCCAAATGAGTAGGTACTGAATTATGAAGTATAAGTGAATACCTCAAACTATGATTATTAACACAGTAAATTCTGATGTGTAAAAGAGACCTGAAAGAATGAAGAAAAAGAAAAGAGCTGTCTTGCCAAAGGAGAATTACCAATCTTGAAAAGATTTATATTATCTCAACAATACAAATCACTCTAGTGCAGATAAGCAGTAAATACTATTTTTAAACAGCAAAAAACTAAAAAATCAGATATGCAAAGTGTTATCTAGAGAAGTCAAGATCATTTCATTGACTGTAATTATCTAGGGTTGTTTCACACAAAAGTAGAATTAGGAATCAACTTAAACACAAGATCTGTCTTTCAAGCATACATGACTGAGATTACTTTTACAAACTACAAAAAACCCACACTCTTTGACCTACATCTCTCAACTGCCTATGAAATAATTCAAAGAACATATGCAAATGTGAAGCAGTAAAACTATCACAGTTTGTAACTGAAGACTATGCACTTAAGTTTATGTAATGTTTCAAATGTAAGTATTCTCACTACAGCTGGTAATAAATGTTAAACTGGTTGCAGATGATAACTATTTGTAACAACATAGAAATATTGTTTATGAATGCATGCACACTATATAACTAGATTTTCTAAAACAATGTTTAATGGATTAAAGCATTATTTTTTATCATAATTCACTAGATTTTCATTGTGAAGCTACATATGTATTAAATCAAAGTGCATGAGTCTTTTTTTTGGTACCGTGGATCGAACTTGGGTCCTTGTGCTTGCGAGGCAGGCAGTAGAATCACTGAGCTAAATCCCTGGCCCCATGAGTCTTAAGATATGTCTGAATTTCCACTAATATTTTTATTGATACATTTTAAGTATAAGTATCGAAGCTCAACAAAAAATGTGCTGCCACCTATAATTATAAATATTCACCCTTTGAAACAAAAATGATGTTTAATAGAAGGAAAACACAGTATAAATGAATTTGTAAAATAGTTTTACTTATCGGAGACATTATTAAAGACTCCGATGTGTTACAGAAGGAACTAAAAACAAAAGCCAAAAATATACAGGTTTTTGTCTCCATTCCAATGCCCTAAAATTCACAGTATTTGTGATCCAGGAATCAGAGCCTCTGAAGTGATCATTATGCAGACAATGTGGCAAAAGTCCTTAGATCAGCACTTAAAAAATCTCTATAAAGCTACTACTTCAATAGTGTGCAGTAAATGAAAATATCAACTGATTGTTGCATAAAGATATTTTCCAATGTTTCAGAAAATTTTCAAATATGATTCAAGTATAGAACTCAAAGCTTTTATGAGATAAAAATTATTGCTATTTTACAGATAAGGAAGATTAAGATATTTTATAAGTTGCCCAAAGTCTTGGTAGGGGCAAGATACAAACAAGTGGTTTGATTCTAGGGTCCATATCCTTAATAATTAGCAATTACATTATACCGTCTCTTGAAAGACAAACTATTACAAGGTCTAACAATCAGAAAATGAGTGAGGAGTCTTTCATCACTGAAGCATATACTATAGAAAGGTAATGGCATAGATGGCAACAAATCTCAATATAAAGCGTATACTGAGGAAAAAGTGAAAAGACAGTCTAATGATAAAAGTAAATACTAATACTGTACTACTATTAACATTACAAAGGGAATGAAAGTGGAGGCTGACAGAAACTTAAATGTCAGATGAAAGACTTATTTGGTGTTTATGGCTAGGTCAGATAACAAAATTAAGTATATGAAAAAGCAGAGATTAAAAAATAACTCAAAGTGCTCGCTTCGGCAGCACATATACTAAAAAATAACTCAAAATAACAATATTGATTTGCAATCCATTCTATTATAACTTCTCAGTGACAGAATTTCTCATGTCATGAAAGAAAAATCTATCAGAATAATTTGAGATGCTTGCTCAAATGGCAGACTCTTCAAATCTGAAGAATCAATTTTTGGGTGTGGACACCAGTTGATTCTTACACATGCATTGATGTTTGTGAACCAGGGCACACTATACAACCTTAAGATGGGAAGGATGCCAGAACAACAAATTATTGTACTCAATGTATAAATAAAATCTGTGTATGTACAAAATAAAGCACAATAATCCAGTGCACAATATACAACCTTAAGATGGGAAGGATGCCAGAAGAACAGACACATAAATTATTGTACTCAATGTATAAAATCTATATATATATAAAATAAAGCACAATAATAATACAGTAAAACTATAGGAAAGCTCAGAAAAATTGTAGCATAGCTCCTCTAGGAAACCAAGTCTTCAGGACAAATAGAAAATCACCAGGTAATGGGGTATTTCAGACAGTTACAGGGCAGTCAATCAAAAGCTAGAGCCTAGTGTGGTAGCTTATTCCTGTAATTCCAGGACTAGGGAGGCTAAACCAGGAGGATCGCTGCGAGTTCAAGGCCAGCTTGGGCTACATAGTTCAAGGCTAGCCTGAACTACAAAGTGAGACCTTGTCTCAAAAAAAGTTAAGCAGGGGCCAGGGATTTATTTCAGTGGTTCCACTGCCTGCCTTGTAAGCACAAGGTCCTGAGTTTGATCCCCAGTACCTCCCCTCAAAAGAAAAATTAAGCAAAAATTAATAAAAAGAACTGGGGATGTAGCTCAGTATGAAGGCCCTGGGTTCAATTCCCAATATTGAAAATAAATTTTAAAAAGCTATAATTTTGGTAAGGATTGAGCATAGGGAACCAAAAGAAAATGGCTGGAAACTGGTTAAAGTCAGAGACTTTTTTGCCAAAGTGGTGAGACTTGATTTTGTAATGGAGTAACAGGAAATTATACACACAAAGTAACAGAGATAATAAACTGAAAAAATGTTTTTGAAAAAGTATCCAAGCAGTAATATAGTGACTGGCATAGGCAAAGACCAGAAATAGTCATGTATTAGGATGGGTTTCCAATAATCCTCAAAAAAAATTAACAGAGACTGAATTATGCTGGTTGTGAAGGGGGCTGATATTTATACACATTATAAATGGTCGGGACTTAGTGAATCATTAAACGTAGAAAAGAAAGTGAACAGAACATAAATGTTTCAAGTACAGAAAACTTCTTATGGAGAATGCTGCTTTTCACCAGGAAGAAATATTTAGAAGAGAGACAACTTGGGTAGAAAGACAACTTTAAATTTTGAGTGGTGTAATATAAGGAGTCTAAACATATAGATGTCAGCAGAGAGTAACAGTCCTCTTTGGGTGGCTTCAGAAAGAAGAATGGCTAAAGATATGGCTTAGCAGGTTCTCACTGTAATGAGAGTAATCTATTTTGGAATAGTGATGAAACTTCTGGCAAGAATGTTTAATGCTATGACTATTATGGACATACACCGTAGTTTTTTTAAAAAGGTCAAGGAGAAGATTGCCCAAGCAGAGTATGTAGAATGAGCATGCAGTGCTACAGTGAATTTCCAGGAAAAAACTTTCATAAGGCAGATGAAGGAAGAAATGCGGGGAAAACTGACAGAAGAAATGGTCAGAAAGGAAGGATGATGCCGCATTTTATGACAGAACAGTCCATAGTAATAGATGATGAAAAGAGCTTCTATAGGTAAAACTTGCAGAGGAGTCACTGGTCACTTCTGTGACTTTCAATAAGGCATTAAAAAGTACACTTTAAGATTTACTGGTGTTCCCGTATGTCATTATAAGAATATACAAATAATTAAAACTGTTATTCTAAAGATGCTGCAGTAGCGAAAAAAAGTTGTGTTTGAATATCACTTTGAAAATATATGGCATTATCTTAAACTGTAACTCAGAACAAATTTTACCTTTTTTTTTTTTTCTTTTTGGTACCGGGGATCGAACTCGGGTCCTTGCGCTTGCGCAGCAGGCAGCGAAACCGCTGAGCTAAATCCCCGGCCCAGCTTTTCAAGGTAAACTGGCTTGTGGAAAAACAGCCAAAAGTGAATAAAAATTAGTTCTAGTGGTCCAGGTAGATAAAATTGTGAACAGAACCAATTTTGTCCAAAATAGATTGTAAACATAAATAATTCATTCAAACTATTACCAGCAGTTACTTAATATCTATTATGTGACAGGTGGTGTTAAGTGCTACAATACATGACCCACAAACTCATGGAGATTTTAATAAAGAAAGATAATAAACCAGGAAACATACTAAAATAACCACAAATTATGACCAGTGCTAACTAAACAACATATAAGAAAATAAAATCATTTTGAATATGAGGATGATATTAGAGAGAGTACCATGAAAAGTCAACAGTGAGTTATTCGCAACACAAGGAGTGGAAAAAGAACATCCAGATATATCATCAATGGTGAAGAGTCCAAAGCAAACAAAGAGTTTGATAGTGAAGGCTAGTGGCCTACGACATTCCTTATATACCTGACAATTCACAAATTTTAAGGAAATTTGAAATAACTTCCCAAGTATATACAGAAGGTCCTCATTATATGAACTGCCAAAATGGGAAAACAGACATCGATGAACTCACCATTTAAAATTTAGTTTCCTACCACTTCGTAACATCTGGCCAAGACATTGATTCAAATTTAAGTTTATGGGGTGATCAGAAACAATGATGAATGTTTAAATTTTTAAAAAAATTACAGTAAAATATACTTCGCTCTTCATCCTCATCAAAACACTCAAATATTCCCCGTCTCTGAACACACTTATCCCAATGTTCTTGGTAATGTGTCTTTCACTATAGTAAGTTTTAAAAAATTTAAATATTCACTGTAGTTTCTAATCACCCTAGGTACACACTATTAATAAAAATGACACTAAAGGATAGCTCATATCACAGCTAAAATCACTGGGAAAAGAAAATCTGTTTACATTAAACCAGTAACAGTTGAAGGTAGGAAAATCAATAAAATATAATAACATTAACACATTTCAAAAGAATGCTACGAACAATCAAGGAACTAAATAGGTCCTTGGGAAAACAATGAAGCCCTAGAACAGTTTTGCCATACTGATTTTATGATTATACTGGGAAGAAATACTATTAAGTAAATGGCATCATAATTTTGTTGGAAAAGCTGATCAAAAGAAAAAAAACTGATATTCAACTACTTATCTGTCCATTCTAAAAATCAGTGTAAGAGGTACAGTAAACTAGGATCTTGTTAAATTTAAAAAATCTATTCGCTTTCAGTTTCATCTTTTAGAAATAAGATTGCTTTAAAGTCCTTTTTTTCCAACTTACCTGCTATGAAATTTCAGTCCTTGACATGTCTTTTTCAATTATCTGTGATTTTTAGAAAATAAGGAACTCCTATATATCTGAATGAGTTTTATTTGTGTGTTCAAATCTAGATATAATTACTTGGGCAACATATTTTATCCTTTCTCTGAACCTGTCCAATCTTGCTAACTGAAAAGAACAGATATCTGAATTTCCACATAATTTAAACAGCAGAATCATAAACGGACTCTAATTTGTTGTTATTCTCAAGGAACAGAATAAAAGTCCAATTAAAGACTTAAAAATTAGCCAGCGTTTATGGTTCACTGCTCATACATTTTTAAATATACTAAATTTGGGACAGATCCAACCCTCCTGGGGTCCTTTTCAGTGAAAAACTGACTGGCTATTCACCTCCTTCATACGGCCAAGAAGCACTTTATATTTAGTTATCTTGAGGGCTCCAAAACTGGTAAGTGTGCTAAGATTGCACCTTTGTCCCAACAGTCCTTTTACAAAAGTATTTCAATTAAAAATAAACAAACCATATGGTTAGTAAGATTTTAAGACCTCAATTGTGAAGCAAGAATAAACAAGTGAAACAGTACATCAAAAAAGGTGGAGTGTGTTTAATTCTTAGTTTATAGCTTCAGACACTTAAGTTGATTTCTGAACATGGCGATGATACAAGATTCTGTGACTGAAAACTTAAACATAATTTTTATTGCAAATAGGATGTAGTATCACTGTATCACAATCACTTTAAAATACCTAAATATGGGCCGGGGATTTAGCTCAGTGGTTCTGGCGCCTGCCTCGCAAGCGCAAGGTCCCGAGTTCGATCCCTGGTACCAAAAAAAAAAAAAAGAAAGAAAAAAAAATACCTAAATATAACGATCACTTTAAAATACCTAAATATCAATAAATATCATAGAAAAAATAACATTTAATTCTTACTTCTCTAGCATCCATCACTGTCCCCACACCAACAGTTAGAGCCATAGTTGGCACTTTTGATAAATCTCCATCAAAGTATTTAGCATTTGCCAAAATGGTGTCCATTGCCAGAGTCTTTAATCTTGTCCTTGACACTAAACTGGATCCTGGCTCATTAAAAGCGATATGACCATCTGGACCTATTCCTTTCAAAAGAAACATACATACATATGAGCATAAAGTAAATTAGGTTTCTCACATATAGTAAATGTGTATTTTCAAAGTTCTACACAGTTTTAAGAGCAAGGAAATAATCATAAAGACACTTACCTGGTCTTATTTTATAGCTGAATTCCTAATACTGCATTAAAATATTTGTTTCTATATTTTACATAAAGTATTTCCATGTGTTTTATATGCACAGCACTGAGTTGGAATGATTCTAATAATAGCAATAAAATTAAGACTTTACAATTCATAAATCACTTTCACATAGATTATCATAACACATAAATTTAAACATCTTGTGAGATGGTAAGATGAGGCAAATCTGTTTTTCCTCTTTTCCACCTTTTTGTTAATATAAAAGGAAATGCTCATGCTCAAAGAAAACAAGTGACTCATTCAAGGTCATAATTTAGTAAATACCAAAGCGGACTCAAATCTAAATCTTCTGATTCCTAACACAGTGCTCTTTATACTCATCCTTTAATTTGGCTAGTTGTAGTCCAAAATGGGGCAATTAATGGACCTTTCTGTAGTACTGTTTCCTCACTTATAAAAGTATAGACTGGACAGTTTTTCAAATGTTTTTGATTGTAACCTATTGTAAGAAATAACATTTGACACTACAATCTAGTGTACATACACACATCTCACACAACATCTAAAATACAATTAAAATGAAAATCATATAAAACCATACTTAGATTTACAAAGAGCCACACAAGCTATTTTTTATTATATTCTATTTTCTTAATAAAAGAAACAGAAAGGAAATGCTAGTTGTGACTGCCATGTTGATTTTGTGACCAAATAATGAAGGACAACCAGTTAGAAAAATACTGCTTTAAAGAGAGCTACAGATAATTCTAATATTCTAGGATTGCCTCTAAAATATAGGTTAAAAACATAGCATTCCTTATTTGAAGAAAATAGGAGGCAATTTTTTTACAAAATAAAGAATCCATAAAATTAATATTTTACATACTCTTATCCTAGTTAAATATATGGCAACTTCAATTAAAATCTAAAACTACAAGTTCTCTAAGTCATTAAAATATCTTTTATACTCTACATATTCACTTTAATAATAAGTTAGGCATATTTTACTGACATTTAGCATACAACTTTGATAAAAGAAATTCACAGATCACAACAACATAAAATCTGACAGTTACCTACTTTTGAAAGGTGAAGGAAAAAATGAATATGAAGCAAATACAGACTACCAAAACACAACAATCTAGGAATGTTTAATGTAGTGACCTAAATTCTTAATGTGGGCACCTAATATCCAAGGATGATTTCCATTATTAAGTACATGTCTGCTTGTAAATCTAAGTTTTAGTTACATATATTTTTCTATCTAGACTTGCAAAAGTATTGTTTCTCCTCTTAGGTATACATATACATAAATACTTACATGTGTCTTTACATGTGTAAAGAACAAAAGATCGAACAAGGAAAATACAACTTCCAGAAAAAATACAAAGTCTACTAAAATCAACACTAGTGTTTTTACTGGTGATTTGGGTCACAAAGAAGAAATTATAAGCAAAAGTCAATAATAGAGACAGGTCAACATACTCATTACTGGTCATGAGTAACTCAAAAAGTGAGATGGCTGATACAAGTTTTGAATGGGCTAATTCTTATTCAGACTTTAAATCTACATTAAGATTTCAGTATCTCTGAAACAACTCAAAAAACATTCACTGATATATGTCTTTCTTGTATTTTAGTTCTGTGGGTATAAATTTCATGAGTAAGGGCTCTATGTTCATGTGTCTTTATCATTTAGAACAACACATTATAAATAGGCATTCAAATAATGGTGGAATAAATGAATGGATGATTGCTATTTGGCTAGTCCAGTAGTTTCTTCTACATTTATCTCTTCTGATCCTCACTACAAGGGCTCAACTGACCATGATTTCTTATGTCCCTGTCAGGCAGAGTGACTGTGGTATAGAGATAAGCGCTTGGCCCAAATGAACCAAACAGAACTACTCTCCAGATCTGAAACTTGACATGGGATACAGATAAAACAGAGGACATCTAGAAATGAGGCACTGGATGGCAGCACTGCAGGAAAGGATGAGTCCCTATTTCTGAGAGGTGAGGTTCTCTTATTCTTGTTTTTCCAAAGACTGAGCTGTTTAACTCTTCCTTCAGTTTTGTGAGTTACCCAAATCATTCCAACTAATTTGCCTCTGGTACCATTAGTTACTTCCTGTTATCAAAAAACCAAAGAATTCAATCATGTAGCAAACCAAACCAAAACAAAACAAAACAAAAAATGTCAACATTGTCCTGTCTTAAAAAAAAAGATACTAGATTTGTTTGTGCATCTCCTTGCTGGAGCAAGGTCAGATATTCATAATATACTTTATTCTTTCTCTTAATATTTTTGCCATTAGAGGAAGAATGAGGACTTTTGAGAGTATATACTTTTTCTTTTTCTTTTCCACCAAGGGAAGGGACTGCCTGCTCTCATTTCCTGGGGTGAACAGATTAACATTCTTGAGCTCATTCTGACTTCAAGCCCAACCTACAGTCTCTATTCCAACTTTACCTTCAATAAAGCTGATATTTTGATCCCATTTGGCAGTTCTTAGTGTTTTTATTAACCAAACCCTGGAACAAAAGAAGGGTAAGTGGTAAGACCCAGATACCAAGCCTTGTTTTGAAAAATCCAATGATAACAAACCTAAATCAACAAAGAATCAGATCAGATTCTTTCATATACATACACATTTCCAATAAAGGGGTTACTCCAAACAGGAAAAGAAAACATAAATTAACCATTTTCTTTTCATGCACAGAGTAAGCAAGTCCTTTAGATGGTACATATAAAAACTCTGGATCAGACTGCAAAGAAGAAGTTAATGATCAGACAAGGAAACTCCTATAAATGTTTTTTTCTTTGGTGGGGAGGAGAGAGACAACTATTGAACATTTAAGACAAACTGGTTTAAAAAGTCAACTCTTTTTTAGTAGTAAGAATCAGTGATAAACATAAATAATTACAATTTATGTTCCATCTACTTTGAGAGGAGAATTGAGGTAGTTTACAGTAAGGAAACATAACAAAACCAGTTACATAAAAAAACTGAGAAATGACTTACAACTATGGAAAAGATGAGTGTTCTACCAGAAACCAGGTTTAAAGAGTTGCAGCCTAAAAATTACCCTAAATTATGAATACTTTCTGGAAAGCAGGCAAAAGAAACAAAATACGTTAGAGAGTCCTTATCAGGTATTTTCCCCAAGTAACTGCTATTTCCAAGGACTGACTCTGCTAGGGATTTGTCACACAGATCCATAAGTAAGGTTAATAAACTTAAAGTGAAGACAAAGTCCACATATGAAGACATTTTTCAAACACCCATTTAAAACAATTAACCTCTTAACAACTAATATTCTTTTTTGGTATAACAATAAATCAGCGACAACATTTTTTGATAAAAGTTAGTGTAGGTATATTATATTCTAGCAATTCTACTTGATTTTGATATGGAGTTTAAATCTAATGAGTAGGTTGTTAGCGTACTCCTTAAATATTCCCAGGTGGGGGTGGTGGTACACACCTATACTTCCAGTACTCTGGTAGGCTGAGGCGGAAAGATCACAAGTTTGCATCCATCCTGAGGAAATCAATGAGACCCTGCCTCAAATATAAATGAATTAAAATAAAAAAATGTTTTAAAGGGGCTGGGGCTATTGTCAAATAATAGAGTACCCCTAGGTTCAATCTCTAGTAACAAAACAAAAATAAAAACAAAACCCCCAAAAAACAAACATCTAAGGTTTCATCCTTCAAATGTGACAGATAGAAATGGTAATTATCTCTAAATTAAACCATATGTACCATGCTGGAATGTGCAAATGCTCTCACAGATTACAAAAATAATATCAGCAAATTTTATTTAAAACAGACAACTTTCTGTTTTGAAAAACAAAATAAGATTAACTTGCATTCTTGCTCAAATAAAAAAGCTTTTGTACATATATAAGAAAATAAGTGGCACTGGCTCTCCTAAATAGAAATTTCAATCTCACTAGGTATCTTTAGAAGTATTTCAGTAAAAATCTCAGGGAATTCAATAAACCTAGGGACAACTATGCTAGTCTATACAGTTTAGAAAAGATAAGATTAATATAGAGTATAAATTATATACCATGAAGTGTTTTTAGACATTTAAACATGTTAGAGTGTTCTTAATTCCTGAAAATTCTGAAATCGCTAATAGTTTTGCAAATAATTAATTGTAATTGTCAGTAAACTTAGACAAGCAGAGATCATGAGACCAAATTTATGTCTGACTGTAAAACCCAATTCTGTCCAAGAGCAACCAACCACCTCAATTATACTTGGCTACTTCAATCATAAATTAATCTCAATATACTTCTAATTCATGTAATGTTGAGTTTTCTAATTAATTATAAGATAAATATATAAGATAACTTCATGTTAATTTAGAATAGAACAGAATAGAATTAATATCTTAGTTGAATACTAAAGAATCTAGCAAAAAACAATTTTGGCTTTAGTTTAATTAATATACTATTCTTATGGCAATCAGCTAGCTGTACCAGATGCTTCATACTGATTAACAGAAAATGTTATAAAGAACTCTTACTATTTCAGTATATTGTGTACACATGTATACAATACACATAAAAATATATAATTACAAGTGAAATTTAGTCAAACACTCATTCACTTTAGATTTATTAAGAGAATTTATAGTTTAACTCATACTATATAAAGAATGAAGGTAAGTAAGGTACATTATATTTTTAATGATTTTTCTCAGTGAGATGAAGTAATTTAAATAATGTACTAAAATCCACCCATGTCTTCTAAATTTTTAGATTTAATTCTCATTTCATAAGCAGGCTGTGATGGTAGGTTAAAAACTATGAAAAAGATAAAGCTATAATTTAATAAGATAAACAAGTCACTTACTTTTAGAGATGTGATAAACTGTCAGCCTTAAAGAGGTAATCAGGAGTTTAAAAGGAATTTACACCTACCTCTTAAGGCATAATTTAAACAATTCTGACTGTTAATTATTAGAATTTTAAGATTTTTTTTTTTTGATGAAAGTAAAATAGAAATCAGTCTATTTCTATTTTTATGGATGAAGTATTATAGTTCTAGGTGTTCTGTGGATTGTGTAATGGTAAGATTTTTTTTTTTTTAAACCAGCAATGACAAAAATCTTCTTACCTCCAACAAAAAGATCTATTCCTCCAGCTTCTTCTATTTTCCTTTCAAATGCATCACATTCTGCTTGTAAATCTGCAGCATTCCCATCAAGGATATGAGCATTATTAGGATCTATGTCAATATGCTTAAAAAAGTTATTCCACATGTAAGAATGGTAGCTTTCAGGATGATTTCTTGGGAGTCCTACATATAAAGTTAATAAAGAAAAATTTTATTATTTCCAAAAATAAATCTTTTTTATGGCATATCCAGTTTAAAATATTTTATATAGAATAGATGCTTATACACCGAGCACTGCATTATATGCATATGTTAATACAATTAATTTGTAAAACATCCATGGAAATCCTGCTATCCTTCTCATTTTATAGATGAGCAAGTGAAACACAGAGAATTTTTCCTAAGGTGATACAGCTCTCATAGGGTCTGGGATACAAACCAAGAAGTCTAGTTCATTTCAGCTTAACCACTTCTCCAATGCACAATATTATAATCAATGAAACTAATTTATGCATTAAATTAAATAACTGCTCAAGTGAAACACTGGCCATGTTTCTCTTCTAGTTTTCCTATATGCATGCAAAGTACAACATCATAATTCTTTGGCTATCACTTGTGCATTAAGAATGTATTCCTACATTTATATTTTAATACAGGGTTTCTATATATCAGAGATAATTCCACTTAAAGAAGTTAACACTCAATACATTATAAAAGCTTAATTAGTACTAATATGAATAGGCTTTACTTTGGATAAAAATCTTTATGTTACTAATTACTTTTACATACATTTTATTTAATTTATCACTACCATGTTGGTTTCTTAATTTATGTATTTTTCTTTTTTAACTTAGTGGAATACTGGGGATCAAACTCAGGCTGTTTACCCTGAGCCTTTTATTTGGTACCGGGGATTGAATCGAACTCCGGTCCCTGCACTTGCAGGGCAGGCGGTGGAACCACTAAGCTAAATCCTCAGCCCCAGGCCATTTTTTAAGACAGGGTCTTACTTAATTGCTAAACTGGTCTGGCTAAATTCAAACTTGCTATCCTCCTGCCTCAGCATCTCAGAGTGCCAGACTCTGGCACATGACAGGCATGCACCACCACACCCAGCTTACATCGTTGTTTTTAATTATGCATCAACACATTGATATAGAGAGAGAGACAGAGACAGAGAAAGACAGAAAGACAAACAGAGACAGAGACAAAGAGAATGAGAAATGTGAACAGATTAGCTCAAAGTTGTATGACTTATAAATGCCAGAGCCAAGGATGAATGCAGATTCTCTGATTTCTAGACCTATATTCTTTCCATGATATAGTACTGTCATCACAAGAATACAGATTTTTATATAACATCACAAAGTACAATATATCCTAAGTACAATATATTATAGTAAAAACATAAATTCAAGCAATATATTATAGTTTAAAGTACATTCATTTTATTCAAAACATAATATATAATATATTCAAATATCATATCCAACATATTTAAAAATATCTTACCTACATATTCATCCATATTAAAAGTCTTCACATATTTAAAAGAAAGGTCTCCACTTTTGTGATACTCTATTAGTTTTTTATAACATCCTAAAGGTGTACTCCCTAAAACAGATGAAGATTTAATTTTCTAACATAACTGCAAAAATCTATTTTAAAACCATTTATGTATACATTTCTTAATCTTATGCATTTAGAATTTATTAAGCAAGCAATCATTAAATGCATATTTATTAACAAATACAGTTTGAGTTAGTATCTTTGTAAGGCATCTTATTTATTTATTTTTTGTTACCGGGGATCGAACTCAAGACCTTCCATTTGTGAGGCAGGCAGCAGCACCACTGACCTAAATCCCTGGCCCTTTGTACATTATTTTAAAACTTTAGTAAACTAGAATTTGTTGAGTAAGGCTAAAAATCTGTCAATAAAAATTAGACTTTGAAAAGTTATTCTTGAGTTGTAAAGTATTTGTAAGTAGTACTGCAAATGCTAAGAATAAAGTCTAGGGGCCACATTTGAATTAAAAATAAACATCCCACTTTCTGAAAAAAAAAAAAAAAGAAAACTCTTAAGTTCTAACACAGATAGTATATAAATGGCCTAAATGGTAATCATTTACTGCAATCTAAAGAGAAACTAAAGCTAATTTTAATATTGCCTCTACTTTCAAAATTGATTCTAAAACTAATAAGGATTGAGTGAGGAACTAGGAGGTTCTATTTTTCATTTTATGTTTTCTTCAGTATGTATCAGCTAAAATGCATTTGAGAAAAAGAAGTATTGTTTAAGGAGAACTTCTAGAAAATTGGATTTTGGCACAGAATACTTCATCTTGATTTTAGTCTCTTAAAAAGTGATTCTTTTACATGTTTTATAAAATGTGTTTTATATTTGCAAAAAGATTTGTTTGAAAGTGCCTTATGATACGACATAATAAAAATGTTTTATGAAACTGTTGAAACTGCCTCCCCCTTTGTTTTCTAAATTCGCTGTACTTTGTATTATAACTCCAAAGTAACAGGCTAAATTCACTGCACTCTTATAAGTGACCCGGCCCTCCCAATCCAGTTAGAGTTCAAACATCATCTTAAAACCAAACAAAAACCTTCACACAAACTATCTACTCAAATACCGTACAGAAATTCATAGAACTGAACAATCTCTGGCCAAAAAAAGAGGAAATTCCAGAGTAGTAAAAAGACTGCATCTGAAATATAGATAGGGTTTTGTGAGGTGATGGGATCATGATGGCTCTAACCTCATCAAAGGATTAAAACCAGTGATGGCTTCATAGCTTCATTTGGAGGTAGTGGAAACTTTAGGTAGAGGGACCTAGTTGGAGAAAGTATGTCATTAGAGGTTTCCCCTTGAAAGGTGTATTTTTGCCCCTAGCCTTTTCTCCTCTCTCTTTCCCTTACCTGGCCACATTAGGTGATCAGCTTTGCTCCACCTCATGCCTCCTGCCATGATGTTCAGCCTCACCACAGGCTCAGAAACAAAAGAAGCAAGTGAGATGGACAGCAACCTCTAATACTGTGAGCCAAAGTAAACAGTAGCTGCTCTTTAAGTTGCTTTTCTCAGGTATTTTATCACAGTAACAGAAATCTGATTAACACAACTGATTAAAGCTGATTAAACATGAAATTTGTCCAAAAAATGGATAAATATGATATCTGTCCTTCCTTTTTAGAAGCATAATTGAATCTTGTTTCTTTTCTGAGTCCCTCAATTTAAAGATATATGAATAAAAAGTGACAAGTGGTTACTACAGTAATGACAAAAACACAATTATCTACTTTTTTAATCCATGTATGAAAGAAGAGATTGAAAAATACAGTACAGAGTAAACTGGTAAAACAAATGTCATTTTAATATTCTCTTTGTAATAGTCATTTCCTAACACAAGTAACATTTAACAAATGCCTATGATTCAGATACAAAAAAGATTATCAAGACTTTTTATCTGAGAAAAAGAATACAGGAACAAGCAAGTACAAAATAACCATGATATAGGGAAAAACAGATAACTAAATAGAAGTCTAGAATACTGCAGTGAATCAAAAAAAGAGACTATAACTTTGTTGGAAACATAATCAAAGATGATGGCATTTCAATTAAGTCCTGACAGAGGGCTAGAATTCTGATAAAGAGAGCAAGCTATAATTGAAAACAGACAAAAGATGGGGGGATGAGACCCAGAGATGACATCTGTATGCCTCCTATGTGGCTAGGTGCTATGCTGGTGTTTTTATACCTCACCTGATGTAAAACTCACATTTTGGAAACTGGCATTATCTTTCTAATTCTGAGATAGAATTGGGTCAAAAAGATTAAGGAATTCACAAATTATTAAATGGCTGTGAAGCCTGGGATTCAAATCTAGATCTGTCTAGTTCCAAAACTCATATAGATTCTACCATATACATACTAAGCAACATGAGTACAAACAAAAAGAAAAAGCAATGAGCAAGTTTAGGCCTATTCTTTTCTAGCCCATTTCAATGTAAGAGAATGGTGGGAATAAGGTTGGGAGGTATGTCAGGTCCACAGCATGCCTTTAAATGTTAAGCGCATTAAAATTGCTCCACTAAATTTATATTAAACAGGTATTCCCCAGAAATTGTGCTTGGTGGGAGAATAACCATGAAATACCATGTTACCTATAATGACAGATATGTATGTTCAAAATTTAAAGCAACAGGGGAGGGAAAACAGGGCACAACTAACTGCCTGTGATCAATGAAGAAAAATAGTAGAATATGTCAACAAAGGTATCCCATAGGTATTCCCTTGACAGATGTATTATTAGGCAGTTATACTACAAAAAAATAAAGCTAAAGTTTTAGATCTAAATACCTAACAGCATGTTTAGTACTGCTAGTATTTAGGACTTGAAGGCCTTTCAGTCCTCACACTCCAATTACTATTTCTGCATCACAATGAAGACATGCAGTTAATATAGGTAAGCTGAAAATAACCTAGGTTTACAGTACATATCATGGGGGGGGTGCTGTATGGGTGTGCAGGATTGGCATGTCTAATTCACAAAAACTGCCCTTTGACATTCTCACCAAAATCGACTGCCCTGGACCAGTGGGCAGCAAGCAAGCAACACATGAAACCAACTTAAAGAATATTATTCATGGAAATTATCCAAGGAGAAAAAATTATGAATGTAGCTTTTATGGAGTTAAAAAGTATTGGGGGAGGAACAGGAGAAAATAGTCATTTTAAAATATTATTACTCTTATCTTTCTTACAGGTAAGGAAACCAAGGCTCAGGAATGTAATAAATGCCTTGCAATCACCAAACAGCAGTTCCGATCTATATCTAATACCATTTGTAAAGTCAAAGGTTAACAACATCAAATAAAGTGCCATAAGATCAGCACTTTATTTGATATTGTTCTCATAACAGCTAAAATCTTGGAAGCAGACTATATGGTTCATCATTAGATAAAGAGATAAAGAGAATGTGATATTTATACACAAGGGAGTACTCTGCAGTAAAAAAGCATAAATTTGAATCATTTATAGGAAAATGGATGCACCTAGAGACCACAATGTTAAGTAAAATAAATTAGACAAAGAAACTTAAATATCATGTTTTCTCTTATATGAGAAACCTAAAGCATACATAAAGAGCAAAATAAAAGACAGATAATAGGAAACAGGGAGATAAATCTTTTAGAAAAGGGAAGGGGATCAAGAGAGGAAGAGGAGAAGGGGGCAGAGAAGAAAGGAATGAAGATGTGTTATGTACACGTATCTACTCCCCATAATGTAATCAGTATATAATGTAAATAATGTACAAATAAAATAAATTAAGTACCACAGAGCAAATGACACTACTTCGTTATTTTTAATACAACTCAACAGTGAAGTAAATCCAGTAAGATATATAATTAATGTATAAATTTATTTTGTGATAAAGAGACACAAATACCCTAAAAGAACCCCAGAGTACAGAAGTGAATCAAAGAAAAGATACTGTAATCTTGCTTGCTGGAGGAAGAGTTTTCATCTGTAATACTTATATAAAACAAGGAAAATAAAGAGATAACAAAAGGCTACTAAGAGAAGAAACTATAAGGCAGGTAAAGTGAAATGGAAAGGGAATACCACATACTTTAATACCTTTGATGACATGGAAAACTAACCTACTAAGCAAGTATATAGTGAAAAGCAATGCCTCTAAAGATAAAGGATTACTAGAAAAAGGTAAAAAATAAAAATAAAAATATTATGATCATCATTTAAGTTACAGTATTTCTTATTGCACTTTGAGATAGTAGGTAAAACAGAATTTTAACATAGGAAATAGTAACAAAATGTAGAGACTAGAATTCATGTATATACACACAACATACACACATATGTATATATGGCTTTATATACTAATACGTTCAATCAGTGATATAGCTAAGTAATGGACAAGAAAAGTATTTTACTCAGAGCAACCTTCAATTCTACAACCTCAGCATCTAAAACAGAAAAAGTGGTTTATTACCTGTTGGTAAGCCCAGTGTAAAGTATCTGTTCTGTCCAGGTTTGAACTGAATGATGCGATTACAGATGTATTTGGCTGCCCATTCACTAGCCAAGTCATAGTTGTCAAGAATTACAAGTCTCATTATGGTGACGCACAGCTTCCCGCACAAGAAGTTCAAACCTAAGAAATTCCATTGTACAGCACTTAAAGTAGTTCATAAACACTCAAACAGAAGTCCATTAACATTGATGATTTTGGAAAGGGCATTACTTAACAAGAATATGTACATATAAAAATACAATCAGTACTTTTGAAACAGTAATAATAAATGCTTCTTTTGAGCAGACTTTGACTTTTAGGCAGTGGGCTGGCACATTTATACACATATATTAATCCTTACAATAATCCTGTGAAGTAAATACTCAATTCAGTCTTGTGAAATAACCACTCAATTTTAGATGAGACAAGACATATAATTTGACCAAGGTCACACGGGTAGTGACTGAGCTAGAACTCAACTTAAGGGAATCTTAGTATAAAGACGCCACACTGTATCTTATACAGGTATAATATTCACTCTTACTGAAGCAACATAAAAGAACCCTAAAGAGAGAGACCAGTCTTTGTTGCTCACAAGTTAATGAAAACAATGATTACTGGGCAACTTTTGGTTACTTACTAAAATCCAGAACTCTCCCTATAAATAACATAATAACCAAATCTCCCTGTTAAACAATGTTTACATCCTACAACTCAGAAATAATTCTTATTATTACTAGGTATACATCATTTAGTATCTAATGTATTCATATAAATAGGATGCACAGACCTTTAAAGAATGTGATGATGAAACATGCTATTTCTAATGAAAAGTTAATTCAGAAAAAGAATACAAAGTAAAGAAAGGCTTCTTTCTGTGAAAAATATATTCACAAAAGTAACTTTTAGTTTCTATAAGATTAAGGTAAAGAAAATTATTACATGAATATTAATTAGGGACATTGTGGATTGGTCTACTACCATGAAAGATGTGAACATTAGCATTCTTACGTGAATTCACACATGATTTATGTAAGAAATGTTATTTTTACATTGTCAAGATTTATAACATTTATAGTGTATTCTATAATCATAATTCTCAGATTGTAATTATTAGTTTCATATTTAAAAGGCTCAGTCATTAACTCCAATACTTTCATGATAAAAAGGCTTCAACATTCCTGAGTTCTGTACCCACACACTTTACATGGTATATTAAGTCAAATATTTTAAATTAAAGGAACTAGAAGATTTTACAATGAATACATGGAATCTAAATCATGTCCTTAGCCCAATACTTTAGAATTCTGACATAATAAAACATTATGATCACAACAGTCTAGAATTCTAGCATAATAACAAGATAAATAGCACTTACAGAAAATAAATTAGTCAAATTCAGTCCAACAAATGGACACAGCCTCCATTTAAGTACATCAATAATCTAATGTCAAAAACTTTGGTGTAACTGAGTAGTTACATCAAAGACACAAAGACAATTGCTGCTATGACTGCCAAAGGATATACACTGAAAACTCAACGAACTGTTAATGAAAAGAAAAAAAAAACCTGTAAGAAGAGAAGACATTAGATCTTTCCCTGTGCCTTCTGTGTCCTGAGCACTGTGTATCTTCTCAGGCAAACACATCTGTGAGGAAGTACTACTGTATCTTCGAAGCACCTATGCTATATTCTACACACACAAATGTGATTAAAAACCCTATTATTTAAGAGCACAGAATCAACTTAATAGTTTCTGAGGTTGATACTGTCATTCTCACTCTTCAGATCTAGTAAATTGCAACTCTAAGAAATTTATTAAAGTTATAAAGCTATTAAGTTTTAGAGGGAGTTGGACTTTTAACTGTATCCGACTTAAAGAGATCTATGCTCATAAAATTCCTTATCAATTAAAAATCATTTAGTATGCCTGTTGAAAATACAGATTCTCAGGCTCTTCTTCTTCTTGGTCACTGTTTCAACAGATGGGAATGAAGTACAAGAAATCTGTATATAACTCAGATGATTCTTACAAGTGGGTTAAATTTGAAAAACTCCAAACACTTCATTGCAAAAAAGTTCAAGCAAGTTACTCAGACCAAAGTACACGCAATTTTTTGGTGGCAAAGAGTGCACCCCTCCAAAATCCTACCTGAATCCTCTCACCCAGAAGAAAAAAGAATCTCTTCACATTCAGATTGTTAAGATGTCCCTTTTCCAAGTTTCTGCCAATCCTCAGAGATCCAAACCGCTATGGGAGAAAGCAATTCTCTGGCATCATGATCAGATGGCATTGAAAAAACAACATTGCCAAGTCCTTCTTGCAGGTGCTGATTCACTTAATACGTGTATCAACTAGGGTAAACAGACAGCTGAACACAAACCTCAGAACTTCCGAGAAGGATGGGAACTCCTGCAGCACTTGAGTTACACAGCTAGTTACCGGAAGGGCCAGAACAGGTATCTAGACTCAGAATCTCTTGCTGAGTTTCTCACTACAGCACGCTGCACTGGACCTGGGAATGACTCTCTGACGCCGGGAACAGTAAAGACCGCACAGCCTGAGAGCGGCCCGCTCGAGCGTGGGGGTGACGGGTCCCCAACCCGGCGAGCGGCAGCGGAGCCCGCGATTCCCGCCGACAAGGCGGAGGCTGCAGACCGACCCAACGGCGTGGCCGCAGGGCCCAGGCCCTCCGCAAACTGCCGCGGAGTAAAGGAGGGCGACTGTCAGGGATTTCTAACGAGTGTCGGCGTAGGTGTCGGGAGAAAGGCGAGAGAAAGGAGGGGCCAAGAAGACCACCTCCCGGACCGCGTAAATCCGGAGGGGACGACAGGGCCAGGCCGGAAACTCCACCGTCCCCCCTTAACGATCCTGGGACCCACCTGCTCCAGGCTCCGTGTCCCAGCTCAGCACAAAACCCCGGGAAAAGCAACCGCCAACCAGGTGTCCGTCTTTAGCCACTCGCCTAAACTCACCAGTTGACTCACAGACTCTTCAGAAGCCGGAAGACCGAGGACCACCAACACCCAACCACCACAGGGCTACCCCAACCCGGCGCGGGGAGCGCGAATCCTGAGGACCCGGATGCAGATACGCGAAGGAAGGGGTGGCGGCGCAGATGGGGCGCAGGCGCGCTGGGATGAGTGATGCGATCTAGAGAAAATCCTCTGGCTGATTGGCCTTCTTCCCTGGGGTCTTCAGTCCTTAGTTATCTCGTGCAGTCTTCCGCCCCTTTAGAGGTGGACTTTTCGTAGATTCCTTAGATTTGTTCCATATGTAGGACTGTAGTGCTCATAAATATAACTGTAGTTATTTTATAATGGCAACATGAATTCATCTCTTTACTCCAAGCTCTTTACTCCAAGCTATTGCATGTCTACTTTGCCAACACAAAGACTGCTAAGCCTTTGTATAAAAATGCTTATCAAAGTTAAATGTGCAGAAAAACACCCTGGATACCGTGAAAAATCCCAGAGCATCTAGGAAAAAGGAAACTGAACAGACTATAACAGCATATGGCTTGTACTGAGTGGTTCCAAGCAAAGGGTAGGGGAAGCAGGACTCAACATTAATAAATATCACAGATCTTTGTCCAGGAGAGGGAAGTATGTTAAATAAGTAGCAATCATTCAGAAAGACAAATGGCTTCTGTCCTATGCCCCATTAAAAACTATTTGGGATTTAATTAGGAAAAATACACTACTCCCATTAACGACAGGCAGTTTCAAGATACTATTTGCCTGGAAACTACAAAGTTAAGATAAATATGAAATATTATATCCTCAAACATCTAAAAGTTCTGCATCTCTGTGGTAAATCAGGCTGTGAATACCCTTCTTTACATCCTTCAGGTGATAGTGTGATAGTCCATCCTCCTGGTAAGACTTCAAAGATTAAAGGTTCTAATACACTGATAGAGGACAAGGTTTCTTATTATACCTCTGAGTTAGTTTTACAAAAGTAATTTTTGACACCTTCCCACTACTGTGCCTTATCATGTAACAAATGTTACATTTACTCAGATCAAAAAACCCTGCAAGTAATAAAAAGAGCTTCTCAACGAGCATAGAAGAACAGTTTGAAATATAGTATTTCTATGGCTTCACTTCTTTAGGCATTCTGACACTAGAGAAGTAAATTTGGATCATATAGGTAATGAATCCAGTTAATTCCACCGTGACTGCACTATGTCCTGTCCTGTTTACATGGTCGTAACACAGTCAGGGACCACCTTGACCTTGACCCCAGCAGTGTTTTTAGAAATTGTTGAGTTTTAACGAGGTCCCTATTAACATTTGTTTTTAATCTCATGCTTTAGCCCTTGCATTTTCATTAAGGGCTGGCTGGGATAGTCAGCAAGCAATCCTGAAGAATTGTTTTTTAATACGGACAGCAGAGAAATAAATCAGATTTTAAAAACCTGTGGGCAGAACCAAAACAAGAAAAATAAAAAGAGCTCAAAATATATAAAAATGGACCAATTGCTCTGTTTTAGGAATTTTAGGGCAATTTACCTTGCTGAATTTTGAATTACTTTTTATTCAATACTGTTTTAGAACACAATTTGTTACAGCGTTCTCTGCTGTTCCAAGAATCCATAGGAGGGAAATGTTTTGAGTCAGAATGTGTTGCTTATGGAGATTTCTTCCCAGAGTGTCACAAATAGGTCAGATATCCCCTTTTATATGTCTTAGAAAGCCCCAAAAGCCAAGGAGTTTGGAATATCTCTAGGTGCTGGGCTACCCGCCCCCCATCACCACATTTGCATCCTGATTATCCAGGATATATATTTCTTTTTGGCATATAAGAATTTGATTAAAAAATACTTTATTCAGGATGAATGTAAATATTCCAGTTCAAAAGCCCCAGAAAATACTTCAAAGATTTTTAAATAGCATTCTTTTGTAATGCATGTAGATGCAATTTCCAGGTCTTGACTACACTTTTTAAGAGGTGTTTTTCCTAGGGAAAAATATTGGTTTGGGACATTGACTTATGGTTGGCAGATGTTTTATATTTTGTGGGCAAATACATTATCATTTACATCACTGTCATATGATGTCTTTAACTCTTTCAGGAAGATACCTAGGAGGGAAATAACTGGCTCAAATGGAATTTCTAGTTTTAGTTTTTTTGAGGACTCTCCATAGTGATTTCTAAATGGTTATAGTAGTTTACATTCCTACCAACAATGTTAAGGGTTTCTTTTCCCTGCAAACATCATTTCTTGATGATGTCATTGTTTCTGGAATATGATAGAATCTCAGTGGTGTTTTATTTTGAGTTTCTCTAATGGCGAGAGACATTGAACATTTTCTCATGTATTTTTGGCCATTTGCAGTTCTTCTGAGAAGCATCTATTCTTTTCAGTTCTACATTTTTTGAGTAGATCTTTAATTCTGAGGACTCTAATTTTTTTGAGTTCTTTATATACTCTAGATATTATTCCTCTGAAAGTGTAGCTGGTAAAATTTATTTTCATGCTCTAGTTTGTCTCTTCACTCCTTTCTTTTCTTTGCTGTGAATAAGCTTTTTAATTTGATATAATCCCATTTGTTATTCTTTTTTCTTTTTTTTTTTTGTACCAGGGATCAAACTCAGGACCTTGAGCTTGCAAGGCAGGAGTGTTGCCACTGAGCTACATCCCCAGCTCCCATTTGCTATTCTTGATGCTATTTATTGTGCAATTGGGGTTCTGTTCTCAAAGTCCTTGCCTGCATCTATGTATGTGAGAATTTTACCCTTTTTTTGGTCTAGTAGATTGTTTCTCCTTATTACGTAGATCTTTGATCTATTTTAATTTTAGTTTAATACATAGTAAGCAGTTTAATACATAGTAAGTTTAATTCATAGTATTAAAAATTTGAGGATCATTTATGTTAGATTTTTCTGAAGTTTTTGTACAATTCAATGGTGAATCTGTTGAGTCCTAAATTTTTCTTAGTTTTTTATTACTACTTCAATTTCATTACCTGCTTTTGGATTATTCTGGATTTTTATATTTTCTTTTTTTAAAATTAATTTTATTGGTACATTTTAGATATACAACATAATGACATTCATCATTGGAAATTTGCATCTTTACATAGTCTCTTTTGGTTCTTATATTTTCCCCATTCCCCTGCCCTCCCTATTTATATTTCCTTAATTCAGTTTTGGTATGTAGGAATCTATGCATCTCTTCTGAATTCTCCAATTTAGTGGAGTATAGGTTGTCAAAGGAGTTACTAATAACTGGACTTTGGTGGTGTCCATTTTAATTTCATCTTTTTCATTTCTAATTGAATGGATTTGTGATCCATTTATTATTCAAAAATGTATTATTGAATTTCCATGCATTTCTATAATTTCACTGGGTTCTTTTGCAATTGAGTTCCAGCTTCCTTGCACTATGATCTATATTATATGCATGATATAATTTTCATTCTTTTGCATTTACTTAAGCATGGTTTATGGGCTAGTATGTGGTCCATTTTTGGAGATACTCCCATGTGTTGCTGAGAAGGGTGTGTATTCTGTTGTAGTAAGGTAGAACACTCTGTAGATATCCATTAAATTCATTTGATGAAAGATGTAATTCAACTCTGATATTTCTTTGTTGATTTTTTTGCCCATTTGATATGTCTGTGACAGTGGACTGTTGAGTTTCCCCAGTATATGTCTGTTGATGTTATTCTGATCTTTTATGTCTAGTAGTGTTTGTTTTATGAAGTTGGGTGCACCAGTGTTTGGGGAATATTATTGTTATTTCTTCCTTTTGAATTGTTCCCTCATTCACTATGTAGTGATCATTCTTGCATTTTTTCCATCACTTTTGGCTTGAAATTCACTTTTCTGAAATTAGGATAGCTACTCCTGCTTGCTTGGGGGTTTCACTTGCATGAGATGTTATTTTCTATTCTTTGATTTTTAGCCTCTGAATAGCTTTTAGATTAATTGTGGGGGTTTTGTACATACCATACTGTTGGGATTTGTTTTTTGATCCAATTTGCCAAATTGTGTCTTTTGATTGGGGAATTGAGACCACTCACATTGAGAGTTATTACTGAAAGGTATTGACTTATTTTTGTCACTGCATTGTTTTGTTGTTGCTAATTTCTTTTCTCTTCTGATTACTACTCACCTGCCTAGTGTATTCATTCCACTAGAATTTTGGCATTGTTAGCTTCATTTTGTCTTTCTGGGATGTCTTTGAGAATTTTTTGGACTGCTGGTTTTGTGGTCATGAATTTCTTAAAGTGATCTTTGTCATGAAAAGTCTATTGTTTTTATCAATTTTGAAAGATAGTTTTGCAGGATATATCAGTCTGGGTTGGAAGTCTCCCCTCCCCCTTTTAGGACTCAAACACTTTGTTCCCAGCTCTGCTGGACTAAAGTTTGTGCTGAGAAGTCTGCTGTAATTCTAATGAGATTGCTTTAATGTGTGATTTGTTGCTTTTCTCTAACAATTTTGAAGATTTTGCCCTGTGTTGGATTCTAGGATTTTGACTATGATGTGTTGTGGAGAAGTTCTCTTCTGATTATGACTATCTGGGGTCCTAATATCTCACTTGTCTGTGCATTAAATTCATTCCCTATATTTGGAAAATTTTCTGGTATTATTGTCATAAGCAAGTTTTTTTATGCCATTTGTGCTAGATTCTGATTTTCTATTAATTCAAATTAATCTTAGATTGGAGTTCTTTGCATCATCCAGCACCTGTTCGATCCATTTTCAATTATTTCTTCTTGTTTTTAAGGTATATGGTAACTCTGAGTATATGGTAACTAGCATCTCCTAATTCTGATGTTCTGTCATCATATTGGTCACTTCTACCCATATTTTCTACAGAATTTTCTATCTGCTAGATTTCTGTTTGGTACCTTTTCCTGGACTAATTCTTTGCTAAACTGGTCATTCATATTTTGTTTTATTTTGTTTAACTCAGCTAGCTTTTTATTGGTGTCTTCTGTAAGCTTACTGATTGTCATGTTTATTAAGTTTATTAAGTACTGATCGTCATGCTTATTAATTGTTTTATCATTTTTATATAATTTGACGGTTTGGCTTTTGATGTCCTCCTCCTTGATGGCCCATGTATCAGCTTTGGGGAAGTTTGCTGTT